GGATATACGTAAAGAAGACAGTTGAGTAAGTGAGTATGTAGACTCTGTGCCAAAGACTGTCATCAATGCATTGCTGGGGGCTCAAGATGGAGCAAGGGAACAGACAAGGAATTGGGGTAAACATAACATGAACAACACCAAGATGCGTATGAACTAACAAAGAGCATAAGCACGAACAAAGACAACCCTGGTGCAATCCTTTACAGGGAACAGAAAGAAAAAGTGAGTCACTTTGTGTTCGCGTCCGCTGAAGGTCCAAAACTGACATAGACTTACTTTACTACTTATTCTTTCCTGGTACGATTACAGTGACTCCTATAGTTCTTATTTAAGTACTTATTCTATTTCTTGATACTAAAATAACTACAGTGCTGATTGCTGTCCTTCACTCACACACCTTTTCCCCATACTGGAATATAGAATGAAGATTATTTATTCTCCTCGATCAGCAATCATGGGCCGCAACTTTTAACACATACACTTTATTATTCTTTGACTTTCCTCATGATAACATCTATCAAATATAATTACAGTGATTGCAACCTGCAGTTTGCGCCCTTGATGACGGCTTGTTTTGGTCACGTGCCTTGCGTGACACCGAGAAATTTTGTCCCCGTTAAATTACAGAAAGTAGATGTTGACGAGGGAGCAGCAGATATAAGGAGCCTACGAGAAGTATTATGGTCAGCTTTTATCCATCTTTTTCAGCCTCTTGGTATCTTTTTGCTTCCCTTGATTTTGTTCATGGGAAACAAAGGGGTCGGGATGGCATCTTGGTGCGACCAATTTGCTTCCCTCTGTCGTAATCTGTGTGTGCAGACACGTGGGGGAAGTTGTCCTCGGGACGAGCAGGTGGCCAAGATGAATAAAAGCCGGCTCTAAAACTAGATGAAGCACAAAATACAGTTCTGAAGATGGATCCTCGTGAAGAGCAGCAGATGGACCATCGTGAAGAGCGGCAGCCTTCGCCTTTGCGTAGTCCTTCCATAATGGACGATAAAAAGCGAGAAGGGCTGTACGCTAGCAGCCGTGTTTTTGAAGATGTTGAACAAGGCAATCCGTCTATGAAGAAAGAAGAAGGTGCAGCCAATAACTCCCCCATGAAGGGAGGCGAAGCTAATTCCTCCATGAAGAAAGGTGCAGCTAATTCCTCGATGAAAAAAGACGAAGCTAATTCCTCCATGAAGGAAGACGAAGCTAATTCCTCCATGAAGAAAGACGAAGCTAATTCCTCCATGAAGAGCGACGAAGCCAATCCCTCCATGAAGAAAGGCGAAGCGAATTCCTCCATGAAGAAAGACGAAGCTAATTCCTCCATGCAGAAGGGCGAAGCTAATTCCGCCATGAAGAAAGACGAAGCTAATTCCTCCATGAAGAAAGATGCAGCTAATTCCTCGATGAAGACAGACGAAGCTAATTCCTCCATGAACAGAGACGAAGCTAACTCCTCCATGAAGGAAGACGAAGCTAATTCCTCCATGAAGAGAGACGAAGCTAATCCCTCCATGAGGAAAGGCGAAGCGAATTCCTCCATGAAGAAAGGCGAAGCTAATTCCCCCATGAAGAAAGGCGAGGCTAATTCCTCCATGAAGGAAGGCGAAGCCAATTCCTCCATGAAGGGAGACGAAGCTAGTTCCCCCATGGAGAAAGGCGAAGCTAATTCCCCCATGGAGAAAGATGCAGCTAATTCCCCCATGAAGAAAGATGCAGCTAATTCCCCCATGAAGAAAGACGAAGCTAATTCCTCCATGGAGAAAGACGCAGCTAATTCCCCCATGAAGAAAGACGAAGCTAATCCCTCCACGGAGAAAGATGCATCTATGAGTGTGGCACCGGACGACGCAACCAACAGTTGATAGGCAGAAGCGACGAGCAGAGACAGATAAAACCTGCAGTTCCGGATGGTGTACTATAGAGTCAACATAGCATGCAGTCCTACGGAAAAATAAGTCAACGCAGAAATCAGTGCGAGTTGCGCTGATGGACTGACGGCCTGCTCCAATGTCTGACTCGTAGTTTTTCTCATTTGCTGAAAGGCTTAACTTGTAGGAGGTTGTTCCATTGTTTGAGGAGTGCAGCTCCATAAGCTTGAGTGTGCCACTTCTCCATAAACTTGATCCTTTGAGGAGTGCTGTTCTATAAACTTGACTCTTTAATATCCAGATCTCTATATGCCGATAAGTATTTGTATTGATCTCTATTCAGGTCTCTATTCAGATCTCTACTCAGAAGATCTTGGCGTCCTGATCTTTGTATTGATCTCTACTTAGATCTTTACGTCTTGATCATTGTGCTGACCTCTACTCAGGTCTTTTTCCTTTTACTGATCGTTATACTGATTAATGCTATTTTGATCGTTATTTGAACTCGATGCGCTATTCAGATCATCTTTGCGCTCATTATATTGTTCGCTCTAGATCATTCAGGCCTTTGCGCTCATCATATTGTTCGCTCTAGATCTTTTCGATCTGTCTTCGGAAGATCTTACTTCTTTTGAAGGCTCATTGTTCTCTTCACTGAGATCATGTCATACAGATATCTCAGATGAGAACTAGTGTTTCACCAACGCTAATCAAGATTGTGCACGAGATAACTCAATGTATTGTTGTGTTGAAAAAAAACATTCGTCCGTTCCCGCCGTCCCCGCCTTTGGAGGGTGGAGTAGAAGATGCAGCCGCGGCTCACACCGTCACCGGTTGTGGCGTGGCTTCGTATCTTTATTCTTCTGCTGAAGATGGATCCGCGAGCCAGAGACCTTTTAACGCTAATTCTAGAGAGTCCGCCTAGATTAGAAACTGAGAAAGTTTAGTTTGTCTGTCGTGAGAAGCTACATTCTGTCGTGAGAAGCAGCTAAGATCTGTCGTGAGAAAGTGCTCGCTCAACTGCAAAAAAGCTACTAACGTCTGTCGTGAGAAGCAGCTAAGATCTGTCGTGAGAGAGTGCTGCGACGTGTGTCGCGAGATACAAGAAAATGACTATTGTGGATCATGGGGTTTTGATCTATGTTAAATTCTAGGTAATGGATGTAGCAGGTTCCTATTCCAGCATAGAGAGTTGTGGTGTGTAGAGTTGGATGTTGTGGGGTTTTCCAATAATAAAGGCTTGTGTTATAATGAAATATCCATTTATTTGCATGACACATTAAACGCGGCATCACAGACCTCCACGTATATCCTCTATTATTGTCTGTTTTTTTCCTACCCATCCTCATCCACCCTCCCAAGATTGAGTGGATCATCTTAATATCTATGCACTTAATTCATGTTCTACTTTGAGTATCATCTTGTTCCCTTGACCACTTCTAGGAATGAGCTTTTAGGAGGAAAATATAGTACAAAGACAAGCTACCACGCTGCTAGTACTTAGTCTTGTCTGCCTGTAACGTCTTATAGCACAACACTTGCTCATCTCCCTCACATACTTGACTTGACTGCACTGAACTTCACGTCACTATCACTTCACGTCACGTCACTGCACTTAGCTTCACTGCATTTCACTTCACTTCCCGTCACTTCCTCTCACTTCACTTCCCTTCACTTCACTTTGCTCCTTTACTTTGGTTCAACTTCACTTCACTAAATAGTTCGGTGGAGAGGTAAGTTTACGCTACGTACACAATAATAAGATGTTAGCAAAGTTGTGGCGTCACAAAGGTTCCGGAGAGGCGCGGGAGAGACCTCATGCACAGCAGAGACCTCATTCACAGCAGAGACCTCATGCACAGCAGAGACCTCATGCACCGGAGAGGCCTGAGACGGAGGAGCACTTCATCTTCTACGATGATCCGGGGGATCTGGTATGGTTATATTGCATTTCCTTTCAGAATACTCCACTAATATTGCTTCTACGATGTTGATCCGGGAGATTTTCCGGGAAATTTTAGAGAGTATAGAGCACTTCTTTGCAGAATTGAGTCAAAGTTCATTCTTTCGTCCTATTTTATCCTCTTCCTGAAGAAGAGGATGATCAATTAAATTTTCAATCCTCCTCCTCCAGGAGGCTCCTCAACAGCAAAGTTCGTCCTTATCCTTTGATGAAGAGACATCCATTCGTTCAAATCAGGCCGCTCGCAGCACGGACAGGCCGCGAGGTGGGTCTAAGGTGTCCTTGGGTGGTGCTTCCAGCAGTGGTTCAGCTTTGTGTCGGTTGTACGAACCGCCACCCAAGCTACTGGACGAGTCCGGAGGTCGTAAAAGCCCTTTGCAGATACGGCAGGAAAAAGCAATGCTTAAGGCTTGGGACATGTTGTCTAATTCATCAATCTGAAGTAGTTAACGCAAGTAAATCGAGATCGACTCACTCGCTCATTCATAATTGAGAGGCAATTCATCACTCGTACTTAGAGAGCATCTTTCCTCTTACTTAGGAGGGTGAATTTAGGATTACGAGGTAAGCTCTAACATTGACAACGCTTCGCTGGGGAATAAAGTGATGCAGCTTATTGGAGGGACTTTGGCGCCCCAGCACTATGGCGAGAAGCTTGAGGTGGGTGATGAAGCATGTGAAGAAGCAAGTGGAGGTCATCCTCAGCATGGTGGTGGCATGAATGCGGGTGAAGGCTCCGAGTCCGAGGACAAGCAGGTAGAAGTGAATCTGGGAAAGCTGACTGCTGGGGCGTTGCGGATTTCCTCCGTTCATGCGGGAAAACTTCAGCAGAGTGCGGGAAAACTTGTGAGTCCCTCTATTGCAGAAGCAGACAAGGAGGACAAGGACAACCAGAAGGAGAAGAGTGCTGTAGTTGAATCTGCGGCGGAGCAGGAAAAAAAGGAGGAAAGTAAGAAGTCTTCAGCAGGTCAACCTGGCGTTGGCGACCAATACCAAAAGAAATCGTCGAAAAAGAAGGAGCAAGAGAGAGAGTACGTTCGTCTTTTCGAGCCGTCTGCTGCAGTCCTGAAAACGCAATTAGAACATCAGGAGGAGACGAACATTGCCAAGCAAGTTGGGGACGCCATGACCAACTGCATCGATTTTCTGAAGGATCAGACGCACTATCCAAAGTTTACCAAGATGAAGCAAGGCCAAGTTTTATTACCTGGAGGTACCGACGCGTCGGCATTGACTGGGGAGGAAGCGAATCAAAAACTCATGGAAGAGCACAAGAGGCAACAATTGGAAAAAATCGCGTCGCAGTTGAACCAGACATCTTCTGTTAAGGCTCAATACTAATTCAAGGCATTTTCCGCCCAATAGATGTTCAATAAGTATTCATTTCTACGCACAAGGCATTTTTGTTTTTCCCTCTACTTTCCTTTTTAGGATTCATTGGGAGAAATGCAGACCACAAGAAATGAATTGCTTCGAAGACTCTAATTCAGGTGGCAGAGATTCCTCAACATCTGCTTCCGGTGGTGGCAAAGCAGCTTCCTCGACGGTGCATAATCCGATATTGGACCGTGCTCTGTCTCAGGTCGGCTTACATCCGACCGAGGTGCAACAAAAATATCGAGAGTCCAGGCGATCAACGACTTCTACTCTTGGTGGGGTGTATCTGGATGACGATAATGAAGATGGCGCAGTAAAAACATCATTAATATCTACTAATGCGAATATGTTGAACGACGCTGGAGGAGGTACTCCGAACAAAAATACAAGAAAGCGAGGGTCTACTTCTTCAATTTCAGCAACTGATCGTTTATCCCAAGCTTCTGAAAAAGTTTCCGTCTTTCTGCAGAAAGCCTCTGAACAGACAGAAGGGTGCTTACCGACTCGCGAAGCTCTCTTGCGCTCCATGGAATGTCCAGACCCGGACGATGAGAATCAAAACCGTTTCGTTATCCTCATCTGCGAGTTGCTGGCCATCTTCCGGCAATTCTCAAAACCCTGCTTACCAGGTGCTGGACAAGATGGAGGTTCTCCTTCGGAAGATGCAGAGACGAATAGAGGGTCTCCTGGGTCTCCAACTTCTAGAGCTTCTAAAAATGCCAGAGCTGGAGGAGGTAAGGGGAAGACTTTGGATACGTCCTCTTCGTCGGACGCGATCGACGAGGTTTCGAAAATCAAAGAGGACAAAATCACAAGGGTCCTGCGACTGCACGAAGCAAGAAACGACTCCGCGATTCACGAAATTTTCTCACGCAAAAAACTAGATAGAAGTAGCAGCTGTCCTCCGACACTTGCTGAAGAGGCAGCTGCTGACGCACAAGTGCTGCTTGGAGCTGCATCTACTCCTGATACACTGGGGAAGGAACTCAAGACTCTGAAAGTCGAACTGGAGGAGAAGACGGACATTGAGAAAGTAAGCACAAACGTCTCTAGAAGAGGCTCAAAACTCGAAAAATCTCAAACTGCCGCAGTGGATATTATATGGAGGCCTACTGGCGATCTTGAGGACAATCATGCGGTAAAGCTTGACGAGGCGGAGACGACCAGCCCTCGTCAGGCACAAGAAGAGGCAACTTCAACTCCTTCTAGCAAAATTGGCATTTTTGAGACAAGTGCAACCGGAGTCACTTCTTCAGCTTCTGCTACAACAATGAAGTCTTCGCCTGCTGCTCTTGAGCGGGAAAAGCGACGCATGGAATCAATGGGGAGGGAGACTTCGGCAAAAGCACGGAAGAGCACGAACGTGCACTCATGTCCAAACGTTGTGAGCCACTCTACAAGCGTGGTCCAGGCATCAAGCACGGCCACTTCTGCAACAGCGACTCAGGAAATCACGGTGGAAGCGGAAAGAGAAAACCCTCCAGCTGCAACTCCTGCGCAAGAGGTTACTCCTGTCCGCGTGTTTCGAAGTAGCAACAGCATTATCTATCGAAGCAGCAACAGCATTACCTATAAAAATCAACTTCTGAACAACGCTACGAAGGAAGTCGGAGTTGTGAAGAAGGACATCTCCGATCTCATCTGCAAGAACAGGAAAGAAGAAGATGCAAATGCAGTTCTGGTACCTGATGATGGCAAAGGCAAGGATACAACAACTCGAACTCTTGGTAGTGCGGACTACAGTGTGAATGGTGAGGCGCCAAGTAGCGGCACAAGTGTAGTCGCACCTTCTAGGCCCACGTTGGAGGAAGCCAAGAGCTCACCGGCCCGGCGTCCCAATGCAGCTCAGAGGGAAGCAAGAAGGTCTTCGAGATCTCAGAAACGGAAACGGGGAGGCAAGAGCGTGGCGCAGCAAAGTGCAGCAGCTGTACCGAGCAAATCGCCAACCTATTCTCCGGCACGAGTGTTGACCCCTAGTGCTACTAGTACGATCATATACCCGCATTACATGAAACCCTTAGGTACAACTAGTGGGGTTCCCGGATTAAGCTTAAAATACCAGCAAAGTTCGACTATAACATCTGGAGTTGTTGTTCGAACATCTTCTACAAGTACAGGATCAACATTAAGTGCTGCGGGTGACTCGTCCTTGACAGCAGCAGGGTCCTCCTTAACCGCAGCAAGCAGAGTAGGACCTCAGCACGGCCAACAGCTCACGTCTGAGTTCAATCGGCTTCCTGGCGTTATCGCGGTTTACCCAAAAGACTTGGGGCCCATTGACGTGCCGCCTTTGTTCGTCGTCGAAAAAAAGATGCAGCAGCAAAACGATCTACGCGCAGCTGCCCTACAGGATACCGAAAGGAATAACGAGGCACTGGCAGAATCCTCGAAGAAGAAAGCCGGTCTGCAACTCTCGAGCAACAGTAAGTCTACTACGTCTGCTCTTGAAGCTAGTCCTGCTCACAGGGCTATAATTCCTCCAACAACACAAGCTGCACAGGTTACTGCGATTGCCTTGGAGGAAGACGAAACTACTTTAGTTCCTACGAAAAGCAAAAAATTGAGGAGCCCAAAATCCCGCTCGCGAGGTCAAAACGAGACTGCTGAGAGCATTATTAGCGCACTAGCGCCTCCAACGATCGCAGTAAGGACAACACGAAAATCGGAGGCTCTTAGGGCGACTTCAGCGACGAAAAGACGGTCCAACAGTCAGACGGACCCGGGAGACACCCGGACACCCTCCCGGGCCCCAGAGGAGCGGATTAGCAGTAATGGGAGACCTCTGTCGTTGCGTAGATCACGTAGTCCAGTGCAGAGAGCAGAGTGGATATGATATGGTGTATGCGTATCTACGGTCGAAAGAGCAGAGTTGATATGATATGGTGGACGCACATCTACTTCTGGGGAAAGAGCGGAGTGGATATGACATGACTTCTTAGGAAGCGGCATCTTCGGGGGAAAGAGCAGAGTGGATATGATATTTTCCCTACATCAATTCATTTTCCCTACAACGAGAATACGTGGGCCAGTGAAAAGAACGGATCACAACTTCTTAGAAAGTACTTCAATGGAGTTCGCAACATACTTAATACTTGCAAAGACGAAAGCGAGAGCGAAGTACACTTACAAGAATACTAGAGGTAGAGCAACTGATTATCTGAAATTAGAAAGAGAAGACTAGGCACAGTTACAGCAGGAGCACTAACATGTCATAGAGAAAAACAACAAGGTTGCGGAAAAGAAAACGATCACTTTTTTTGAATTTATCGAACTCGCTTTTTGAACTATTCGAACTCATTTTTTGGAAATGGCGGGTCTTGCAAAGGCAAGTCTGTAAGGCTGTTACAATCTAAAATTTCATTCATAAGTAGTTCTTGATTGTCACGACAAACCGGTGACTCAGAAACCCACTCCTACTTGGTGATAAATTCAGAATGATGTAGAGCAGCAGACGAGGCGTTAGTTTTTTCTATACTCTGGTATTTTCTAGGATATTGTTCGTTTGTGTTACAGATTTAGATATTAGATAGTAGTGAAAATCAAGATAATGGGAGCTTATTTTTTCAAACGCAATCACAAACGCATAATCATAGTCAAGATAACACGAGACCAACGAAGGGCCTTGTGGGTCGTCCAAATCATGGCGGCAGAGGCGGACAAGCATTTGGACCCGACGAGGACTCTGCCTGTTTTTTTGAAGAGACACGGACACCCCAAAAAGCCGGTGGCGATGCTTCTCCTTTCTCAAGAGTCTCGCACCGTAATATGCCATGGCTCATTTTTCAGGTAGATGAGATCGAAAGCGCATTCAAGAAGACCACTGAGAAGGTAGCGATGTTTCTTCCTGAAATATTCTCTGTTACGTGAGTTAGAGTTTCTGACCATATACAACATGATATGGAGTGAACACGACCATAGGCATATTAGCATAAAGAGTTGTGTACTAGCGAAGATCTTCTCTGGTATCGTAGTATTCAAAGTCTGTGGCGGCCGACGTCGAGAGGTGCTGAGTGCAAGGCTGCGTCTGTTTCCGTTTAAATTCTGTGAACTAGCAAGAGCAGTTGTTGAGATACGTGAGAGGGTCAGGAGTTCCAACGGTGAAGCTCAAGCACATTATCATGTGTCAGATAATTTCTGTCGAGGCTAGAGTCTGTTGGAGACCCAGTCCCTGTTATATAATCAATCGGAATAGGTTTAGGTGGCCCTTCTCGGCACGATGAATGATGAATGTTCTATCTTGCTTCGTCTTTCTTAAATTTATCAACTCCAAAAGGTTTATTTTTTTTTCGAATTTTCTTATTTACGAAGAGTCATCCTCTTGCACCGGCCTTCCCCAACCTATAAATATGGATATTCCCTTTGTTTCCCATGCTGTTCCTTGTTGCCCCGACTATAATATGACCTGATCCTTTTTCTGCTTACCATTTCTATCTGCTTTCATATCTAAGATCTTGATAGATTATCTCTTTGTCATCTTTACTTCAAGAGGATAAAAGTAGAAGTACACACCGTTACCGATACCCTTTAATCATATTCTCTTTGCCTGAGACTACTAATTTTTCTGTATGATCGGCGTTTTAACAAAGTTCTTGATCTTTTTGTATAGACGTTCTAGCTTTAGCGCATTAGAAAAGTCTTAAAATATGACTATGTCTCCCTCGTCTTCTCCTTCCTCAAACAAGATGAGGGGCACGAGTGTTTTGGTGACACTGCATGCTGTGGAAAGACGAATCAGCGATCGTCGCATAGACGAAGATCGAGAATACGTTGGTAGGATAAACAACCACGACTTGCGTCCAAATGATTCGATCGCCATCAAGCAAGTTACTCTGGGTAGTGTCTTTCGGATGGCTTTTTTTGAAGATACGGACAAACAAGATAGGGCTAGAAGCGGTGCCCTCAGCAGTCCTTGTGGCAGTGGCGAGAAGACTATATTAGAAGACGATGATGTGCACTATGGCGACGACAACGTCAGCATTTCGGCATCTGAAACAGGGTCGCTTTCTGCTTCCTGTTTCCCATCCAAATCCCTCAAGCAAGTGCAAGCTCCTGAGTCGAGTCATCCTCGCGCGCCTGTTGCCCATCTGCGCCTCTCGATGCGTGAATTGGCTAAAACGCGCGGCATAGACAAAGAGTGGCATCTTGCCGCAACTACAGCGACAAGTTGTAAAACATCTTCTCCATCGTCGAGGAAGACTAAGAATTTACCGCTCAACATCAGGCCTGCAAGTAGCCGTGCAACGTATTGGATTTGCCTATCTGTGAAGCCCTGTAGTAGTACAACTTCTTCTAAGAGGACTGCGATGACGCAAGCGGTGAATGACGTGAGCAAGAAGATATCTTCTCGAGGATCTACGCCTACTTCTTCGAAGCCACAAAAGGGAAAGTCTACTTCTCCCATGTTGAGAAGACCTGTCGTCGAAGTCGACCAAGCTGCAGTAGAGGTTGTACACCCTGCTATTCAAAATGTGAAACAATTTCCTCACCGTCTCCGTCAAGACCCACATCAAGTTATTTCACCTAGTAGGAAAGGCAAAGGCATTTCTCCTCGCAGGGTACTGAAACTGTCCTCCTCTTTGGCTACGCCTCAGTCGTCCTCAACTTTGCAGTTCGCTAAAAACCGCGGATCACAACCTTATGGTTCGCGTCCACAGGGCTTTCTTTTTTCGCCAGCTACAAGTGGCGCTGGTAAACTGGTTCTTGGTGGACGGGGACACGACCAGAAGAAGCGACGAAGCTTGACGGAAATAACCTATAGTGGTAGTACTAGAGGTTGGACAACTAGCAGGAGTGGCACAAATAGTTCTTCGAATAGTGCGAATATGAGAGTAAAGAATGTCATCACTTCGCCAGCAGAGATAGTTGGAGACAAAAGTCCTGAGGAGAATTCGATAGCCCTCGTTCCTATAGTTGCTCCGGTGGTTCCCTCAAAACAGCTCTGGTTCGGAAGCCATAGCACTAAGACGACAGATCTAGCTCATCTCCGACTCTTCAACGTATGCGGCTTTGTGAGGCCTTTAGACGACGCATGGAGTGTGGAAATGTCTAGCCTGCGGATCCGGTCCGCCGTTGCTGCTCTAGACTCGCTTCTCCAGGAAAAAAGATCGTGGATCGAAAATGAGGATCTGCAGTGGGTAAATAAGGAGGAAGAAGCTCTAGCTATAGATATACAAGGTAAAAATTGGGGGATGCAAGTACAAAATCCTCAACAAACTTCTAGTACTAGGAGACAAGAACTTGATCTTCATGAAGTCGAGTTTGAACAACTAGGTTCTCCAACAAGCCTGCATCTGCCAGATACCATCATCAAGGCCCTAGAAAACTATATGAACGATCTAAAGATGGTGAACCTGAAATTACCCAACTTGAAGACGCCATTTCCAATGGACTTGGAAGCTGGCTTAGTTGCAAGTTGCCGAGAAGATCTCCAAAATAATGCTCTTTCTTGTCATGCGGAAGCTGCATCTACGACGTTAGTCTTTTATAACGAAGAAGAGCGATCAGCTGAAGCCGGTGTTGATGAAGCTGGCAACGCACTGGTCACAACTGATGAGCTTCTTGTTGCCACAGTCGAGAGGTATCCTACGCTTACGCAGTTTGCAGATGACCAAATCGCCTTTGGCCGTGATCCGTGCTTTTCCTCCTCGTCCGCCTCCAGTAGTGCAGACGAAGGGGCGGATGAAATAGTCGAGCAGGTGAGAGGACGCGTACTGACTGCCCACAATGCCGTAGATCATGAAGCAGGGCAAGTAGAAGAGGATGACAAGCATAAGGTCGCCAAACAGGAAGAAGAAGAAGAAGATGATGGGCTCACTGAAGCTCCATGGAGGACGTGGTCAGCATTTTTAGGGCCTTTTGCCGAGATGATATTAGGGCAAGAAGGGCCCCAGAGCCTCCAAAGCAAAAGTGCTACCATCCAATTCTATCAAGATGGACCGGCGACCGCGGGTTCCCGGTCATCACCTCAGTCGCACATCCACAAGCCCTCGTCGAGTGCTGAGAAGCCAAAGTCGAACGTGGAGGCCCTAGGGACGCATCATCACGATCACCATTCGCATGCAGAGAAGGCAGGCACCGCACATCATTATAGCCGCTCGCAGGGAGAGAAGAAGGAGGCGCATCAGCATAGCCACGCGCATGCTCTAGGGAAGACGGAGGCGCATCAGCATAGCCACCCGCATGCGGTAGGGAAGACGGAGGCGCACCAGCATAGCCACGCGCCCAACGTAGATGCTACAGCGCAGCGGCACAGCCATTCACATACAGAAAAATCCAGCCCACAGCATAGTCACTCGCATGAACAAGACAAGACGGCCACGCACGCTTCGCATCACGAGGCGCCGGCAGAGAAGGGGCACAGCGGTTCACACCATGAGGACGCCGCGCAACATTCGCATCATGAGACGCCCGCAGCGCAGGGGCACAGTCACTCACACAACGAGGCCGGGCAGCATTCGCATTGCGAGGCGCCCGCAGCACAGGGGCATAGCGGTTCACACACCGGGCCCGCCGCGCACCATTCGCACCAGGAGGCGCCCGCAGCACAGGGGCATGGCAGTTCGCATACCAGGGCCGCGCACCGTTCGCACCAGGAGTCGGCCGCACCAGCGCACTTGCATGGCGGGTCACGCCATGAGGCTGCTGCGCATCAGCCTGGTGTGCCACACCAAGAGAAGGCAGAGGCGCATCGGCATAGCCACTCGCACAGCGAGCACGCCGCAGCCCATCACCATAGCCAATCACATGAAGAGAAGGCCGACGCGCATCGGCATGGCCACGCGCATCACGAGCACGCTGCAAAGCATCAGCACAGTCACCCACATGTAGAGAAACCCGAGTCGCACCGGCATAACCACTCACACGGCGAGCACGCTGAGGCACATCAGCACAGTCACCCGCACCATGAAGAACACGCTGCCACCCATCACCACAGTCACTCACAGCATGGGGACGGCCGCGCGCACCACGAGCATCACCACAGCCACCCGAAGCAGGGGGACGCCCGCTCGCACCATGAACACCACCACAGTCAGTCGCAGCATGGGGACGCCCACTCGCACCATGAACATCACCACAGTCAGTCGCAGCATGGGGACGCCCACTCGCACCATGAACATCACCACAGTCAGTCGCAGCATGGGGACGGCCACGCGCACCATGAACATCACCACAGTCAGTCGCAGCATGGGGACGGCCACGCGCACCATGAGCATCACCACAGCCACCCGAAGCATGGGGATGGGGACGCCCACTCGCACCATGAACATCACCACAGGCAGTCGCAGCATGGGGACGACCACGCGCACCATGAGCATCATCATGCACACCGGGCTTCTTCTTCATCAACCTCTGCAGGAGAGATACTGTTCGGCGAAGATCCTATGAATATCCAGCGCCGTATGGAATCCTTAGGTTGTGGCACGGTGGCTTCTCAGCTATCCAGGGTGCACGGAGACTTAGGGGACCTGCTAGAAAAATTGGCAGTTCGTCATAAGCGCATAGTGGATGAAGATGCGGATGAAGTAGAAAAGATGCTGGTAGAAAACGCAGCAGACCCAAAAGGATCTCCAGAAAAGCTACTTAAAGAGATGCAAAAGGATCTGCAGTTTTTCGACACTTCTACGACTAGTAAAAGGCCAGGTCTTCTTCATGCGGTAAACACAAAAGGCAGCCAGAATAAGCAACGTGGAGGTTCAAAAACGGAGTTGGCGGCTGCAATAGAAGAGGAGATTTCCGGTCTGCGTAGACTGACACAGAAATATCATCATATAGACCTGTCAGGAGCAACCCCTGACCTGCCTATGCCAACACTTGGACGTCCCAGCAATGTTGGAGGCCCTGAAGACACAGACGTCCGTGGAATGCTACAAGCTGCCTCTCCGAATGAAAGTTCTTCTTCAGAGGACCTCGAAGAAGTGGATGATGCTGATGAGGACGACGCCTCTTCGGTTTCCTCAACAATGACCCACTTGCCGTTTATGTCCCCTTTTTGCTGTAATCTAGTGGAGCAAACGAGCGTAAAGACTTCTAGGAGGGGGCCGCGGGATAGGGATACGCAAGACAACTTCTCGTCTGAAGTGGAGGATCTGCTTCCCAAACAAGATGATGTTGACGCCCACGACCTTTTGCCCGTTAGAAGCAAGTACTACAGGCGTAACTTCAAACGCTTGCAAGCTTCTGGGGCTTTTCGCTACACTGGTGTGCATCCGGCGGATTTATTCGACAAACATGGGCTGTTCCGACCCACGGCTTTAGACTGGAAAACTGGCAAGCATGATGCAGTTTTAGCAAGGGAGCATGAGGACGAGGCTAGAGAGCGGAAGAGGCGGCAAAGGCTCTTTCTCCTAGGAGCTGAACTGACGAAATTGCGGAGGCAAGAGCAATTAAAGGCAGCAGTAACTGCAGGGGAATGCACGGAGGAGGATGAGAAGTCGGCCAAAGCGAGATCAACAAGAATGCAAGAAGTTTTGGCTTATGCAGAAGTGCTGAGAAAAATGGGCATTCATCACAAGAAGGGAAAGAGCAGGATGAAAGGTACTAGAAGTGCTAGATTTTCTTTGTTTTTGCTTGTGATGTGCATGTGGAAGTGCAATCTTGATTCAGCTTTAGTTACCGTATTTTTTTACTCGTCGCCTTAGAATTTTCCATGTAGCAAAGGTGCCATTTACCGTGACTACTTCCAAGTAGTTCATGATTACAGGTCTTTTGTCTAAGCTGTACTGCATTGTTCTTTGCGTTTCTTTGAAGTACTCTTGTTTAAATAGCTTCAGAAACTCTCATAACGCCAACTCCTCAGGCCGCTCTTCAAGAAAAGCTTCATGGAAGCAGAAGCTCGCTTTGGGCGATGAGGATGACCATGACCACAGCGAACAAGATAATACTAGACCTTCAACAGACCTTGAGGCACCAGATCGCTATAATAGTTCAGATCGCTACACTCCTGAAAGGCTGGAAGGGAACTACGATCAACGGCTGCGGGATATGTTCCTCAGACCCTTCGACACCTGGGGATACAAGGGCTTGCCCCACGTTTTTCCCAGGGAAGCAGTCCTGAAGTCCGTGGATCGAGTGCGGCTCGAAAGGGAAGTTAGAGGATTCCGGGATGAAGATGCGGGTGACTTCTCCGGAGGCGAGGATAATATTAAGGGTTGGAAGTTGGTAGAGGATAGCATGTCAGATAATAAATTCCGAATTGCATATCAGATAAGGCTAAGGCTCAATACAATGCATTTCTCCTGCAAGACATTTGTGTGCCTGTTTCTCTCTTGGGATTCTGAAGAAATGTCAGCAAGAAATGATTTTGGTATCTCTATGGGCAACATCTCTATGGCTTCTTCAAGTAGGAAAGCCATACTAGATATGCGTTCTAGAGCGGTCAACTTTCAACCTCTAATAATCTTCATCCAGAGGACCAACTGCTCTTCATACCAAAGAGACGAAAATCCCCGTCCAGAAGAGCATCTACTTCGGCAAAACGAGGAATAAAGGCTTCTAAAAATACATCTTCTTCTTCGACTTGTCGGACGAGCAATAGCGCTTACTTACAACTGGCGAGCAGATGGTTTACCGTTCCCCCTGAAGAGCAGTATGAGTTCTTGTGGGAGCATTTTTCCTATCACTTGAAGGGCATGGAGACATCTAGAATCCAAGGACCTGCAAGTCATGTTCTATGGGCTCGCGCACGTGACTCTCTGCAAAAAGCGATTGCGAAGTTGTCTCTTTTGGACACAACTATAACCAATGGGCCGAAGGGTGTAGTCGGAGCTGCTGCTGGTGCAAAAGGAAAAGGACGAAAGCAGCAATCTGGCGGTATCGGATTCCCGTCGTCAACGTCCCTCGGCGTTGTCGACGCTATCTTGCAACGCGCATGTTTAAGGTGTATGCAACAGCGACTGCGGTTGAACATGGACAGAAATTGGGCTACGACACTAAGAAAATGCTTCGATTTGACGCAATTTGTACGACGCAGTATACAAATGGCGGATGAGGAGGTACTAACTTCTAATACTAGCATTCGCATTGCATGTTGAATTATATGTTTATAAGGCACTAGAAAGTAGTTGAGTATGATTTTTGGTTATGATCTAGGTTGGCTAAACAACGTCCATTACATGCTTACATCCGTTTATGTAGAAGTACTTCTAGTACAACTAGTAGCATGACTTGTACCAGTATGACTTTGGTTTAGTTCTCGAAACTTAGACTTTGCTGTTGTTCGCTAAGCAACCTTGCATCTTCTACGCATCTATCGAGACCAAGACCGAAGAGTTAACACCTCTATCGTATCATGATTCATCATCAGATGAAACAAGTCCCAACATCAACCCAGTAGCAAACATTTTCTCTCTTTTTACCACGATTCTACTGTCGAGCATCCTTCATTTGTATAGGCTTTCCCTTTCCAGTGTTCTCTCATACTACAAGTTCTGCTAGAAGGCTCAGGTAGTAATTGCTCTTCTTGAGCATTTTCTCTCTTTTTACATCAGGGGGTTTCCCTTTCCAGTATCATTTGTATAGGCTTTCCCTTTCCAGTATCTGCTCTTTTTACCACGTATCATGCAGAGGGTTTCCCTTTCGACATCAGAGGGTTTATTCCCTTTCCAGTATCATTTGTACTACCTTTCCAACTTTACTCTACATCTCGTTCAGATCGATGCGGAGGGTTGGCTCGTGGAATGTCTAGAAGACGGCTTCCGCGCGATCGCTCACGATGAAGCGGCCATGTTTGAAGCCGTTTACAAAACTCCGTATATGATCGGATCTCAATCCCCCTTGGAAGATCTGAGTCGAGTGGAGCGTGCGCTTTTAGCGGCAGTTCGGGAGGCGATCCTCCTAAAGCAAAGTCTTCAGAGACTTCCTGGAGGACTCCTCGAACAGAGACTTCCTGGAGGACTCCTCGAAAGAGAAAGAGAGAATCCCCAGAAGAAAGGCAGTGGACCGAATGGACCCAAAACAGTGACAGACGAACTCCCGTTTCAGGTTCTCGTGGATTTTAGAGGATGACGTAGGTGGGCCAGCTGCATGTTCGCGGGTTATACTAGTCAGCGCAAAATCAAAATGAGGAACCACGTAGGTATTACAAGAACTCAGACATTATTCATATTTACTGCAGTAATTAGTTTTTACAACTGAATACGTATACGAATACTAATTATTTACAAGTGCTTTTATACCCCTGGAGTGGGTACATTCATTCATTCAAGTGCTTTTCTGATAATCTTGAGCGATTTGCAGCCAACTGAATACTCTTATTCAACAACCGTATCATCAATTGTTCAATACTCCTTGGATCAAATACTTATACTAACATCGCCATCTTCTACTATACTAAACACTCATGCAATCTGATTATCAGCATCATTCTGATGTTCTAATGATCATTACTTTATCTGATCCTGATCATTACTTACTCTGATGTACACAATCCAAACAATATCAACAATAAGGGCTTATCACGCGTACACCTTCAACTGCTACAATGAATACTTGTTTGCTCGAATACTTGTGTATGTCTACTTAATCTTTGACTGATATTTTTTCATGATAGTCGACTGAACAAATCTGCGACAGAGGGTCTTTTGCACTTACGACAGTGCAATATACGATTGGTACTATTTTCAAGACCGACAAACTACATTGCACAGTGAACCAATGAATACATGAGGAGCAGGCGACGTAAAGAGAGGTCCCTTCCGTGGCAAAAGAGGGTATCAGCTGGATAGTTGTAGGTCCTTGAAGGTGTTCCAAGAAAATTGGAGGGGGCGATGGCAATACTGCTGCTGCTGCGGCCGTTAAACGCATCGCTGATACTCTCACTCGTCGTTAATGTGCGGCTTGCCTACGACCATGCGTTCCGCGAAGCTAACGTCGCTGTGCTGGGATCCAGCGGCAACACAGCGGACGGAGACCCCATGAGAAAATGAGGAATATCGCGTCCTCGAAGGAAATATTCAATTTTTCAATGAAGATCATGACCGGCAGCGCCAGAGCGACTGGGGTGTGCGTCGTGCGTCGAAAGATAAAGTGGCATTATCGAAGCGAATGAGGAGTTCGTTGTGTACAAAAGGTGAATGAGAGAAATCTTTTGGAGGTGTTGCGAAATAGACGAGAGTAAACTACAGAGTAAGAATACATCATCACGACCTTCAACGGCAATTATCGTCTTCTGCTTCTACCCAAGAAAATGCGTTTCGTCCGGTATCACAAAATCTACGACCGAGCGCCAGCTGGGAAAGATGCGCAGCCAAGTGGATCGTCTTCTTATGACACCTCTACAACGGCTCAATCGGAATGGATAGTCCAGGAGAAAATACATGGTGCGAACTTCTCTATCCACGTGACCGAGTCCGATATCCGTTATGCCAAAAGAGGAGCCTTTCTGGATTTCGATCAGGACTGTTTCAACGACTTCCAACGACTGGACGATGTACTGCGTCCTGCAGCAAGAAAGTTGTGGCAAACGTCACAGATATCGACGGCGCCTGACCAGCCTCCAGCAACGAAGCGAGCCTGTAAACAAGCGAGCGCCGCATCGTGTGGCGAAGCGTTCATTATGAAAGTGGCGATAGCTCTTCGCCTGGTGCATAGCGCTTGCTAGTCTTGGCCTACATTTGATCAAGGCCGGATAGGTGTACAATTCAGCGACTTTCACGTAACTTTGTTGTATGGTGAATCGAGCATCAATATAATCGCCACCGAGAGCGATTCGCAGGAACAATTCTAAACATGAGCAAATCGCGATATATGGCGAGCTTTTCGGCGGTTACCTGCCGTCGGAGAAAGAGGCACAACTCGGATGGGATGCGCTGTTTCGCAGTAGGACAACGGCTGCTTCTCGGCAAGCATCTTGCAACGCGAAAATCGCGTCTCGTGCTGTACAAGAAGGAGTGTACTACGCGAGTGATGTCAAATTGTTGATATGGTAGAACAGCGAAGGTGTTCGTCATAGCCAATTTAGGAGCGTTCTTGGTGCTGTCAGTCCAAATCATTCGATCATCTGGGGGCCGCGCATCCTACACGCGGTGCACTTGGGACGCCAAGTGTATAAATCCCCACTCCACTAATCCACCAATCCAGTAATCCAAATTTTCACTTCTTTAATCTATTAATCCATGAGTAAAAAAAAAAAAAAAAAAAGGGGTATGACAAAAGGCCACATGCAAAAAGGTCACTCAAAAAGCCAAAGTTCTAATCTTGAACCTATCACTTTCACCTATGTCATTCAATCCAGACGCCTAACCTAGTCACAGACAATCAATTCGACACTAAGTCCCAATCCATAACAACATGTCGGGCGAAGCGTCGAGTGAGAATGTAACCATTCTTGACGCTCGTGCCAAATTCATCCAACTACAACGCAAGCGAGACAACAAAATCAAATACGCAGCAAGAGTAAAACTCCACGAATCAGGTGAAGATCCTTTTCGGGTAATCAGCGGAATCATACAATTCCAACAGTCCTGCACAGTCCAACAAATCCTCGAAGCCACCTTCCACGACATCAACACGCAGTGCGTCTCTGATAAATTCCCCATCAAAATAAACATGTCCGATTCGTCAACTTTTGAATTGATGGAAAACCAGACTAATTTCATCGACAACGAATTTCTGGCGACAATCAGAATCGACGGAAATATCAACAAGTTTCCACTCGAACAATTTTGCAATGAAGGGCCGCCCTTAAAAAAGCGGAACATACAACGTGCAAGCGCATACGAGTCCGAACCATCAATAACAGTCACAGCTCTTCATCATCTAACCACTTTTCCATCGTTTTTGCTATACACAGTAGTCCTCGAGCAACATCAACCTCCAAACTTCAGGAAGTTCTCAGGCGTCATCGATCTGGGAGCCCATTTTGTCTCGCGGTCATATCTGGGTGAACTCATTCTGCTAGACATCAATCTGTCACATCATCGCACTATCTCACGGTTCTCACAAGTAAAATTCAACATACATAGCGTGTGCAGCAACGTTAGCGGGGAGCTTATTAACGAAGAAGCACATCTTGTGCCGCAGCTTTTCCAAGACCGCATCAGCATCATGGACAATCCCGTCTATTTTCGAGTTTGCGCAATTGAAGCGCTCAACGAGATGGGAACCGAGTTTGTCTGTCTCGGATACCGCTACCCTAAATCTGAAAATATCGGGTTACTGCGTGTCACCGTCAAGACACCCGAAGGAATTCCGTCGGACAATGAAATCCTCAAGCTGTGCGGCAACTGGGTACGAGATACAAAAAAATGGTCGAGCGCAGTATTCGACACATCATACAAGTCTTCAACAATCACTGATCTAGTAGAGAAGTTCAAGTCACAACTTAAGCGGGCTAACATCAAAGAGTTCAACGTCTCCACGTACATCAGCGAACTGCGCACCATGATGGCAAATTCGTCTCCTTTTCTTGCCGCTAAACGCAGCAGTCAAAGTGAAATCGACAAAGTCCTTTTCGACAAGAGCGGACCAGTTCTCGAGAAAATCTGCGATGAGTGTCGCATTCTTATGGACCCCAACAGCAGGTCGCGCGCCCGCACATGCCAGGCCAGCACTTGTCACAACCAAGTTGTTTTTTCCGGCTTCGCAATCGACGAGATTCAGGTAAACTAATCAGTAATCAATGACTAGAGCATGCTGGTTTCTAGTAATCGAAAATGTTTTCACAATGTCAATCAACTTTTGACATAGATCACAATCACAGAAAAATCTGGTAATATTCCAACAACAATTCCACCCATACACAAAGGCCATCAAAGGGCACGCTGAAGCCAAAGCTTCGCAATGGAACAACGCAATACATGGCGGCTTCTGCGCTGCGAAGATGAGAGTTTTTGGCAGTTTCAACAACGTGCTCGACTCTTTCACTATGGAAAGCAACTATGCAAAACTGATCAGCGCGCACTTGTTCTCGTCCGTGTTGATCTTTATCTCGGCTTTCCCTCACTACGGTGCAGCTATCTCAACCCTCTATGCGTACTGCAGTTGGTCTGAAGTGCAAGCCTTGGGGCGCACGTTATCGGTGTTAGCGGCAACTTATCCCGACATGGAAACAAACGCCACAGTCAAGGTAAAAAAAAAAAAAAAATATATATATATATACATCAATCCAAATCTCATTTTAAGTCGCTAACAGACAGCCAACATGTCCCAAACATAACGTCTTAAGGTGATTTTGGCCCTCGCATACGCCATAAAGCCCGGTCACGAATTCAACAAGTCCTTTGTAAGGTGGATCAGTTCTAATGCAACCTTGCCGCCTCCTTTATTTGCGGAAGATGCGTGGTCAGCCGCAGGAATCGAATGCATTCGCAAGTCACTTCGTGACTGGACCTCCCGCGTAATGGAACGTGGTATCGAGTCCGATCTTCGTCTAGTGCTTGCTGAATTCATCGGAGAACTTCGCCAACAGGGCGCCAATTTAACTTTGGAATCAGGCAACAGCCACACAGATTGTTTTTCAGTTGACAACGACATCCACGAGTCAAACAACTAAATATCATCCGTCGGACTTTCTCATCTGTCCAGCACACATCTACTACTTGTGTACATTCAAGAGAACTGAACAAGCGTGCACCGATTCACCGACGAATGATGCTAAGTGCTGTATTGATGGTGCGTTTTTTAGAAAATTCAGTTTTAGCGCGTATCTTCCAAATCAAACATGTCGACAGAAAGTTTGACATTTATGCAACTCTTATGATGGTCACAACAAATCACGAATTCATGCATGGTTAGTGCTAGCACATCATCAAGAAGACTACACATATTGACAAGACGTTCAAGACATCTGCTGCACCAAGTTTTTCATCGCAAATAAATCAACGTCCGGCAACATGTCCCATTTCAATACATGAATCAGTCACATCCGGTTAGCTACCCTTGATAACAAGGGAAATCTTTTAATACGAAGTCATAACATATATTCAAAACAGTGGCCGTTCACATCTTCATCCTTTCACTGAAACTTGGCAGGGCTTGGTAAAAAAATTTTCCTTTCATTTGACATAGTTTTTTTCTAGAAGTGTATCTTGTTTTTCACTCGCGATGTCAACACTCGAAGAAGTCAACAAGTTGTTAGAAAACAGTCCATCCACCGTGGACTCGTCCGATCAATCTGGACAATGGGACGATTACACCGAGGACGAGTGGAATAATTGGTTAAACTCCTTGGATGATTCAGCCCTTGAGAATACCGATAGCATTCCAAATCAAAACGGCGAACAAATCAACAAATTTTCGGTGAACAGCAGTGAGTTACACAGGCGAATTCAAAAATATCGTGAATATTGCAAACAAAATCAAATCATGGCTAACGGCGAAGAAGACGGTCAACAAGGACTGGGGCAGCTGAACCCAGTCGAAGTTTTCACCTGCATGGCCTGCGATCAAGTTACGCCTATCCTCAACATCTACGCAGCGTGCAAAAACATCAAAGAAAGCGGAACAAGATGTGTCAAGTGCGTGTGCAACAACTGCAAACGCAATCAGGGTTCAATGGTCCACGACCTGTTCTATCTGGTGAACGTCGACGACCCGGACAAAACGGTCTGCATGAGCTGCAATAATCAGAAGTCACTCACTCGAATGAAGGAAGTCAAGAAAGCGTTTGCGGTACTGCAATGCTTGCAAGGTTTAACGATTAGTAAGTTTGTACAAGTCAAGTCTCTACTACTCCTTTAATCCACATTTCATCAATAAGTCAGCGCATTATGCAATTGACACATTTTTATCAGAACTCGGCGGGCGACGTCTCCATGGGTCCAGAAATTGTCGGTGCATATCCTTGGTTTGCCGATTATGTATCGATGACCGATAAGGAGTTGGAAGACGCGTATGCAATCTTAAAACGCCCTCCTATGAGCAATCAGTCCTCGACCAAGCTTAACCCCAACGAGGTGATGACGTTGAGCGCAACTTTCGCATCCGACAGCAAAGCCCTGCAGAAGGCGGCTGATCAGCTCAAACTCAAGGGCAGCGAACACATGAAGTGGAGCAAGCTTCTTCTTTCGGTGAATGGGGGCAGTCTCCTCCATTGCAGCAATCACTTGCAACGACTAATCAACATGTTCGCAGGGCAGCCGGTCGCTATTCTTGCTGAATGCGCACATTTCCTCGTCAAATATCATCTGGATATGTCCACGCTTATGGCGTCATCTTCGAAGAAAGGGAGACAACAAATGGGCAGCAACGAAGTAACCCCATCCAGCATCGCGTACACCATCTACTTCGCACTCAAGTCGTGGGGAAAAGGGATTAAGCTGCGCAACAGAATCGATCCAGTCCGCAAGGGCTTCTACAATCTCGAATTTCTCCCGCAAGTGGCGAATGCTTCAACTCGGAACATGCAATCGAGAGGAGTGATGAAAGTATTTCTCAAATTTAGGCAGTCAAAAAAAAAAAAAAAAATTTTTTTTGTAATGTATAGCTGAAATTCCTTTCCACTAACAGAACCTTGTAGTCCGCATATTTCCCTTCACAGGCTTTGATGGCCGAAATTTCTGTGGGGGAAATCAACCATGCACGTCAAGCCGTGGAAAAACGCCGTCCGCCGCCCACTGATTTCGGGTCCATCGGCACGCCAGCGAAATTTCCGAAATTTGGTCATCAATTTAACGCAAACAACAGTGGTGGTGGAGGAGGAGCTAGTAACTCCTCGGGAAACAACAAATCAGGCAGCAACTATGGTACAAAATCCAATGACGAGCGTATCGCGGATATTCTACGCGCTGCAGCAGCCAACGACGCTGCAGCAGCAGCGGCATTCCAATCCGCCGTGAAAATTGAATCTAGTGCTGCGTGCAACTTTTTCTCCACCAACAAACTCTGTCGTAATTGCTTCGTGTTGGGATTTGGTTTGTCCATGAGTCATGCCTTTGGTTTTGATCACTGCGAAGCAGCAGGGAATAGTTGCGCGATTTCTTGCAAGATTTGCTATGCGAAATTCGGTATCACCGCATACCATTGGGTGTCCGGTTGCCCACATCGTGATGACCCGAACACTTCTCCACAGAAGGATCATCAGTCGAAGGGAAACGGCAAAGGAAAGAAGGGCTTCAAAGGCAAACGTTTATCCTGATTGTGTCAGTCACAAGATGGAATCATGTATAACAAGGAACTTCGTGACATTTGAAGTGTGGCACATTGTGAGCGTTTTATCTGAAACCCGCGACCCAAATTTAGTACCATTTATTAATAGAAGATAATTTTTTGAAGTATGATACGATCGAATAAATCTTCTTAATCTCCCCCATCGGCACTTTGGCTGCCCAAAAAATTGTTTGTAACCCAAATGGAAATGGACAACCCAAGCTGAACACGTCACCAATCCAATCACCCTCAATAATGTTGAAATGGCACGACTTCGGTATCATTGTTTTTGCCACATTGTAATCGACATTTCATCAAGCATGGAACTGCGGCCGGGAGGCGATCCAAAGTTGTTACTGTGCTCTCCTGTTTGTCCGAGTTCGAGTAGAGAGTGTTGTGTACTTCACTTGAGCGACTGGCACATCCGCAAAATTGGGGATATAACATGGCATGACTTCGCAGTTGAATAAACTGCGTTTCAAGCCAAATAGCTGGCAGCTCATATCGAGGCTTTATTGAGCATGTCACTTAATTTCAAAAAAATCATGCGTGAATCGGGGCTCACTGACGTCGCCAGAGCGTCAAGCCCTTACTTACGAACAATTGACATCAACAATCAACGTCAATCCGCGCCGTCTCGGTCGCATGAGGCGAATGCGAAATGGCTCACAGCAGATGATGGCCCTTCGAAGTCAACCTGCCATCTCGACTGTGCTGCTGATGATGTCCTTCTCGATGCCGAAAGACCACCAGCAAAGGGCAGTCAAATGCTTCCATGTGTCGCGTCCTCATCTTCAAACAACCTTTTAGAAGATTTTCCTCAAAAAACAGTGTCAGCTGACCTCCCGACAACCAGTACAACTGGAGCGAGTTCTCCCGAGTTCCTGACAGCAAACGAAGCCGAAACAGATGGGGTCGTCATGTCTGACGCAGATTTCCGCACCGAGCTAGCAACGATCAAAGAGTCAGTCAAGGAATTAACAGATTGGCATACTTCACTGACGTTACCTCATGGTGGAACCTCCGGTGGAAAGAAGTATGCTGAATTTTTCTATGGCGCTTGCAGCAGTCGCATTGGCCTGCAAATTTTCAAAAAGGACGATAGCATCTTCGATAAATTCCCACTGCAGTCGCGTCTCAAGGAAATACTAGTCGACTCTGCGTTTGACGATGTCCAAGCTTCGTTAGCTTCTTCATCCACCGGCGTATACCAGTCGTGTCTCAACACCATCGTGCCACTGGTGTGTGCTGTTGTTCGGTTTGTACTGTGGCCGATAACTTGTGACGATGAAGCACTTCTCTTCTTCACCATTTTCACTAGGTCACGTCTTTGTTCCGGAGCGTGCTCCAAGGTTGACGAGAACGATCGCACGAAGCGTGCCGTTCGATGGAACGCCTATCAGCAGCTATCAGCGGCTATTGGGGCTTTCAACACCTCCAGAAATGTACCGTACTCACTCAGCGACAAGGGACCGCGTTTGAAACGTCACTGGTTGGGTTTCAAGAAGAACGCTTATCACAACCCTCAGTGCATGAAGTTCTCTCCAAAATTCGAAATCATTTACAACTTCGCAACAAACGCGCTTACGGCTTGGCAAAAGTCCATCGGCCCAGTCATCGCGGACAAGCTGGGGCCGGGTCTTCCATCGCCGGCCCTAGTAGACAAAAACTTCCTCAGTGCATCGATCCAGCTTCAACGAGCCGTCATCTTAGTCATTGGGTTTTTCGGGGTACGAAGAAGCGACGAGTTGCGTCGTCTGAAAGCAAGCAACATTTTCTCTTCTAGTGGGAGCACCATCTACATCTATGTGGAAAGTGCAAAAGACGACAAGTTTGGCGCAGGGCACAAAGCCGCCATTCCGTATATGTTCCACGATTTATTGCGAGCATGGGTTAAGTTCTCCGATAACTTCTACCGTTTTTATTTGAAGATCCATTGGTCCTCAGCTGCTGCTCCTTTCTTCTACGCCATTGGCCTCAATAAAATTCCATCTCGTGGTCTCGCACCCGGAAAGGATTTCATCAGGCAACAAGTATCTGCCGCTATTGGATCTTTTAAACCTGACGGCACCATCGGAGGTATTTCTCTGCGCAAGGCGGGTGCTCAATTTTGCACTTTTTGGGACGTGTCGAGAGAATTGGCTTTCTTCCAGGGCGGATGGAGGAATTCGTGCATGCTGGGCGCAGTTTATGCTCCGCCAGACATTTACGATGTTGCCCAGCGGGTCAACCATGCAGCTGATCTGGCATTACATAGGCTAAAATCCATGTTATTAATCAGAAAGATTGAGGAATCCTTTTTGAAGTCGTCTCCAGCTGAACGTGCTAAATTGTCGTCATGGGTTTCCAGCGTGTCTTTGTCCCACATTTCGTCAGTTGACTTGCGCCACTGTGCGCCCAAATTATGTTCCGAAATCATCTCCGGCAAAGCCGACTCTGATACTTTCCGCCGCTTCAAGAATATCTTGGTGGCGAATAACGCGTAAACATGGGAACCCACTCTGACGCATCCTCCATTGAGGCACGTCTCGGCCTCTGGCCAAAGTCCGCTTTTACCGTGGGTGATTACACCTGTCGCAATTTGCCACTTTCGCATGACGAAATCCTGGGATTTTTGCAATCGCAACCGGGTCCAAGCGATTGCTGGCGGGATTATGAGGATTGCAAAGCCGTCGATGGACTGTCACTCAATGTCGACGAGTGCATCCGGTGGGGCGTATCACCTGATTTCATTGAGCGATGGTTTGGTGGGATTAAGTTGAAAATTATCAACGACGATTTCGCCACTTCGCAGACTGAAAATTATTCATCAACAGTCCAGCGCGAAGATATTTTTGTAAATGAAATCCAGCGTCTCGCTGATTTAAAGAAAGTACTCATCTACGACGCGAGCAAGCTCAATCGTGAGCACAGTTCTGCGAGTCCTCCCGACGATCTCATGATTGCCCCTGCTTCCATCCTACTGCAGAAGCAGGGCACCAAAGTTCGTCTCATCAGTGACTGGAGCGCGCGGCCCTGCGCTCTTAATCAGTCTCTGTTCGCTACTCCAGTGGATTACGCTTCGTGGTGGGATTTGTTTGAGTATCTAAGGCCTTTCGCCTTCGTTTCCGGTCTCGATCTGAAGGACTGTTTTCCTCACTGGCTCATACACCCTTCTCATCGCCGGTTTTTCGGTCTCGATTTGCCGTCCCTCGGGCTCAAAGCGACGCGCCTTTTCCTCCCGTTTGGTGTTGTTCCAGCGCCGGGCGAGAACAACGAGAACGCCAAAGAGCTTATTCGTGTCTGCCAATCTGCTGGGGTGAAATCTGTTTTGTTCGACTACGTCGATGACATTCGTGCAGTGCTGCCTGGTGCAGCGTGTTTGTCTCAGGACGAGACTAACCGTGACCTTGAACGGCAGTTCTTCTTGCTCACCGCCCTGGGATGCAAGCTCCATGACAAGCCAGGAAAGCGCATCGAAGCCTCCCAACGCTTTCCCTGGCTTGGTTTCCAGTGCGACACTCGCGCAATGACAATGAAAATCGAAGAAAGCCGTCGCCTCGACTACATCAAATTCATTGACAACTTCCTTGCCGAATTCGAAATCTCAGGCAAGTGCCGAATCAAAGATCTTGCTTCGGTCAAAGGCAAGCGTGGGTCTTGCACGTTCGTCGTGAACCGCGGCCCGCTTTCTGCGATGCAGAGCGAAGTCCAGGCCTCTGGCGCACCCAAGCAATGGCTCCGCAATAACAAACTCAATCCAGCCGTCCAGCTCTCGGCTGAAGCACTAGCTGAGATCGCCTGGTGGCGCCGAACGTTAGCCAGCGACCCAGCCGCGCCGTTATTTTTCAACGGACACAGATGTTTCATGTGGCGTGAGGAAGTCCTCACTTTCGGCGATCAATTCTTGCGGACCATTGACCCATCCTCTCTTCTCGTCATCCACGGTGACGCAGCCACTTCTGCCGGCACAGGCTGGGGTGGCACTATCAACGGCATGCGATTCCAAGGATTTTTCAACACCGAGTGGCAATCTTCGTCCATCAATGCCAAAGAAGCAATAACGCCGATCCTTCTTCTACGGGCTTTTGTCGAGGCCGGTAACTCGGTCAGAAATAAGATCATCATGTACTACACGGACAACCCAGCCGCAAAGAAGGCTTGTAATAAAGGTGCCTTCTCATCCGAAGACATGGCACGAGCCTCGTTCGAGATTCGGTCCTTCGTTCTCTCGCAATGCTGCGAACTTGTTGCTGGCAAAATCTTTGGTGTCGAAAACCCAATTGCCGACGCGTTGTCACGTTTTGAAGAGTCCGCCAATGCGATGAGCGACTCTTTTCCAAATCGGTCTCTCTCGCCCAGATGCTGGAGTCTAGTAGCAAAAGCTTTCCCTGGGCTTGACACTGTGGCGATGTCCAGTGACTCCGTCCAGGAGTTCCCGCAGTTGGCGCATCATTTTTCAATCAGCAACATGCCTTTTCACAACGTACATCATCTTCTACATCACAAAACATGGTGGCTCCCCCCAACAACTTTAATCTACGCCACCCTCAAGATCTTAGACAAATTCGTGACGAACGTCCCGGTTTCTCAACGCCCTCGTTTTGTCGTGATGGTTCCTTCTCTCGGTGGGCAGTTCCTTCCGATGTGCAGTCTCTTATTTCGCGCGTCAACTTTTAGGCAGAATTCACTCATCTTCCGCGCTCCGGGTGGTTGTAACGATATCCCCGCTGACACCGAATATGTGGCTTTCTCTTCCGTTCCCCGAGAACTATGGTCTGATGCTTTCAGCCCGTCGCTGGAACTACTGCCGCAAATGGAGTTGTTGCTTCGGAGCGCGCGTTTCAAAATCGCTGCACACCTTAGGGACCGTGTCACTATTGCAGATATTGCAGCGGCTCCTGAGGAAGCCATTATCCACGTTTGTTGCTGCACTGCTAAGCAACCTAAGGGAGTCGCTAAGTCGATTCTTCGTGCCCATCCTTACGCGTCAAGTTACCATCTTCCTCCAAGCGCCAAACCACATGGACACTTCGAGCACATTGGTAAAATAATCAACATCTACTCGATGCACTTCCCCGGGCCGCCACGGCTAGCGGCGCCTGGTGATGTACCTGATTGCGCCGCAACCAGGCTGCAGCACTTTCGTAATGCCATGGACATGCTGCCTTTGCACCTCGCACGTTCCACGATCTCGTCTGTGGCCGTGCCGTTGGACATCGGCGCAGGGATGTGCGGCGGAAGAATAGTAGACTACGCTGTGGTGTTGGATAAATTTGTAGTCGCTTGTTGCAAGCTGGGCGTGCGCGTCGCTCTTTACCAGATTCCTCATTCACGTTAATTGTCACTATTTTGCCTATTTTGGCTACATCTCACTCACATTCTCCCATTCCACATGTTCGTACGATGACACAACGCTGTGTGGGCTAGACTGAATGTCTGACTGCACTAGCAAAATAACACTCCTAAAGTACCAATGTCAGCACCTTCATTATGCTCATCAATTGTTGATATGGTAGAACAGCGAAGGTGTTCGTCATAGCCAATTTAGGAGCGTTCTTGGTGCTGTCAGTCCAAGTCATTCTATCATCTGGGGGCCGCGCATCCTACACGCGGTGCACTTGGGACGCCAAGTGTATAAATCCACATTCCACTAATCCACCAATCCAGTAATCCAAATTTTCATTTCTTTCCCTCCCTCCTCTTCCCCTGTCCTGCATTCACCCTAGCTCACCAGTGTTGTGCTTGTCTGGCTACATCTCACTCACATTCTCCCATTCCACATGTTCGTACGATGACACAGCGCTGTGTGGGCTAGACTGAGTGTCTGACTGCACTAGCAAAATAACACTCCTAAAATACCAATGTCAGCACCTTCATTATGCTCATCAATTCATCGTTTTCGACATTGTGGAATTTTGGGATAATTATGGGAAGGTGGAATTTTGGGATAGTTACGGAAGTAAATAGCGAGCAAGTAGAAGCGCCGCATCCTTATCAGCAACGTCAACATTTTCAACGCAGCAGTCTTAACATCAGGGAAATCCGTAAAACTCAGAAGAGATTCAGGGAAGTCGTGGGGCAATTCCGAACCGACTAACATCATCATCATGCGAAGGTGGGGCAAAAAGATGGAGAGCGGACTACGACGTTTCGTTTTTGGGATTACGACTCGGTTAAAGATTATGGACTGAAATTTGGATTCTGTTTGTAGTCCCATGCAAGTTAATACTTCTGGGACCGGGGTGGAATGCACTACATGGGGGCGAGAGTTTTTAGGACTTTTTTACGTGTGAAGTTCACAATAGAACTGCAACTGCTGATTCTCCGGATTGTTTACCTCGGTTTCTAAGAGGGCATGGGCTCGGCCGCGGGCTTTCTCGTGAGCGACGTACTGCTGCGGACGCCTAAGTACGCAGACGCGGCAAATTACGATGTCAATACCTTGCAGAGTCAACTGGCGCTGAAACTGAATCCGAATATTAAGGCGAGAAACAAGCGCCGCGTGATTTTTGCGGCAATGATTTAAACCAGCAAGAGGTACTACTTGCAATTATAGCATTGAAGATCTTGTTTTGAATTTCCTCGGTAGAGTCAGCAATTATGGGACATTTGTATCTAAGCAGCATGCGGCGCTGAAACTTCTGGACAACCTTGCGGAAGGCGTGGTGATCCGGCCGGCAGGGGGCGCCGAAGTGACGATATTATGGAAAGTTACTAATTGTTTCATAGCTAGTTCACTCTAGTAGGGTAACCCGGCAGTAACTCCATTTGTTTTCTGTCCAAATCCCACCTAACATAAGCTTGGATTCAGAATATGGTACTGCAAAGCCTGTTGTTCATATTCCTACTTGATCGTCCCAAGTTCATTGTATCCTGTGGACCCGAACGGCCTATTTTAATTTGATTGTGCCAAGTTCATTGTATCCTGCCGATCCAAACGGCCTATTTTCATTTGATTGTCCCAAGTTCATTGTTTCCTGCCGATCCAATCGGCATGAAGGAGCTGCCGGTAGCGCGGTTCATGCTGAAACGGAAACCAGCACGCTTTTCAGAGGAGATCGACAATGTGGAGACGATGCATGGAGGTGAAACTCCGGAAGCAGTGTTTCGCACTCGGGTCGCGCGTCTAGTCAATCTTAATCGTCTCGCATCAGTTGTGTCTAAGGCGCCGCAGCCGGAGGGAGTTTATGCAAGAGTTTTTACTTACTTACTTACTTACGCGCTGTAGTACTAGAATGTTGAATTTCAAGTTCAACTGGAGTTTCTGAGGACACTGTCCTACAGAATTTTACGCATGGAGCATATTTGGCTTTTGATGTCTTCGTGGTACACTCTTTCCTTGCCGCTACGGACGCAGGGGTCTTTCGTCACTTACGCGCTGTAGTAGAGTGTTGAATTTCAAATGGAGTTTCTTAGGGCAACTTCTAATCAAGAGTTTTGACTTACTTACGCGCTGTATTAGAATGTTGAATTCTTCGAATCAAACCACGCTACAGCAGAGGAATGGTCCTTCTGGACTGAGCAGATTGTTTCTGATTTTGCCGAGGACGTGTGGGAAGCTTTCTGGGCGTCGGGCTGCGATCTTGGGAGTGTGGATTTTACGGAAACACGACGTAGGAGGAGCAGGTCTTGATACCTTCTTCTCTTACTCAATTTGATATCTTAGATTTTCCTGAGACTGTGTGTCTGTTGGTTGGACTTGATACGAGTGAAGCACGTAAATGTCTCGATGTGCTTGCAATATTTCGCTTTCATGCACAACGACATGGGTAACGAGTACGTGGAAAACGAGTGCCGCTGCGTTGTCGGTAAACGCTACGGTGTCGTGTCCTGAATCGCTTTGAGCATACCAACATTGTTCGGTAAAGGCTGGGGCAATATTGTCCAGTGTAGCGATGCTCATTTCAGCGCCTAGGAGGTGGAGGGAAATTCTCAGAAAATGGAAGCTCCGCTAGGATTAGAGAAGCAACGTGGCACACACCTAGCCCAGCCTGATTATACCGTATTCGCTTCGGAAATAATGGGGTGCCCACACGGCGCATGTTGAGGACCGACGCCTCCGATGGCAATCACAAGATTCTGATGTAGCAACTAACCTGCAACATGGTCGATTATTGGCTGGAGGAGGGTTTCTTTTTGAAAAAATTGAAATTTCCATGGTTCTCTTCGAACATTGCTGGAACTTCCGAAGATTCTCATTCATGACGGAGACTTTATTCTTCACGTCACGACGCTCAACAGGATGTCAGCGTGCAAAAAACATTTCTTCGCTCCGTCGTATTCGGCAAGATACAATGTGCATGACTGTTTCGTGTTCCGCCGAATCCGGTCTTCTTCAAATTGGCACAAGTCGAAATTCAGATGATTGTATAGGGCACAAGCGTTGAAAATTCAGACTTTGAATCAGAGGTTGGAGTCTTTTCACTTGGTAAAGAATGATGATCGTGATCCGTAGGCTCTATCAGAATCAGCAGATCCGTGAACGTCTTTGATCCTAGTGAAATCCGGTTCGTATATATAGAGTTTTCGAATCAGACTTCTGTGTGAGAAATCCTTGATCGTGTTGCTGAGGAGGGCCTTACCAAGAGATCCGAGATGCGTATTCAATGTTGGAATGCATAGACGAGGTCAATTAGAATGCGTATTCATCCTCGGAATACACGAGATCTTCCATAGTGACACATTTTACGCTGAAATGCACGAGTTCATAAAATTTTGAATGCGAATTTTTTCTGAATGGAAGTGAAATGTCCTGTTCCACGAGGCAGAGATCAAGAGCTTGTAGTGGCACAGCGAAGTCTTTTTGAGTAGACAAATAGAAATCTCTGTTTGATAATCTGCCAAAAGAGAGAGTCCTTGAGTTGAGTTCAATTTTCTTCAACAAAAGTGTTTGATTTCCATCATCCATCCACAGACCCCTTCGATCCTAATTCTCCAACATCATCAAACAACAGGACATAAGTTAAATCGCATTTGCAAGTGCACGCTTTTTCAATTCGGGTTTTTCATACCCTTTTCATCTCTTTTATCTACAAGTTCGTTGTTTAGACCCCCAACCAAGACAAGATGGCGGAAACGTTCGCATTTAACGCTGATATCCAGCAGTTGATGAGCTTGATCATCAACACCTTTTACAGCAACAAGGAAATCTTCCTTCGTGAGTTGATCTCCAACGCGAGTGATGCGCTCGATAAGATCCGATATGAGTCCATCACGGACCCGGAGAAGATCGAGGCTCAGCCGAACTTCTTCATCAAGATCATCCCGGACAAGACCAACTCGACTTTGACGATTGAGGATAGCGGAATCGGAATGACCAAGAATGAGCTTGTCAACAACTTGGGTATACAATTTTTGGCTACATTGGTTTTCGATTTATTAGGATCTGTTTATGCGCTTGGATTCAGATTGATTGACTGGTTTTTGAACTAGTTTGGTCTTGTACTGAGAAGAGCCGCAGAGGCTGTAGAAAGTTGCTTATGTAGCCAAGATGGGTGCATGGGTCGTCTCCAGTTGAATTTCTACAAGAATTTAGATAATTTAGATTGCGAAGAACTACATGATTTTCGTTCGCTCACAACGCGTCCTCGAAATCGTTTCCCAACTTTTTCGTCCACAGGTACGATCGCCAAGTCCGGAACTAAGGCCTTCATGGAGGCCATGTCTGCTGGAGGTGATGTCTCCATGATTGGTCAGTTCGGAGTCGGTTTCTACTCCGCCTACCTGATCGCGGACAAGGTCCAGGTGGTCTCGAAGAACAACGACGATGAGCAGTTCATCTGGGAGTCCGCCGCCGGTGGTTCCTTCACCGTCACCAAGGACACCGACCAGGTGTACGGTGAGGTCAAGCGTGGTACCAAGATTGTCTGCCACTTGAAGGAAGACATGACCGAGTTTTTGGAGGAACGCCGCCTGAAGGACTTGGTCAAGAAGCACTCCGAATTCATCGGATTCCCGATCGAATTGTACATCGAGAAGAGCGAGGAAGTTGAGGTATTTGTTAAGGCTATGCTGGATTGCTATGCGGATTTCACTAGTCGGTGGGACTAATAAGAAGAAGTTGAGGTAGTGTTTTTTTGAGTTGGCAGTTTCAGACTGCAGGAATCTTAGACTTCGTGAAAATTGACTTCGAATATGAAAATCAAAGGCCGCTTCTAGATCTCGTTGGATTTCTCCATTTTTGCAGTTCCAAATCTCCTGTGCTATCCTGAAAGACTTCAACCGCTTTGTTTGAATCTTCTGGACCAAAGAAGACGGTAAGTAGTGATAACTATAACTCGACATCAGGTCACCGACTCCGAGGACGAAGAGGAGAAGAAGGAAGAGGAGAAGGAGGGCGACGAGCCCAAGGTGGAGGAAGCCGACGAGGACAAGGAGAAGGAGGAGAAGGAAAAGAAGACCAAGAAGGTCTCCCAGATCTCGCACGAGTGGGAGCAGCTCAACAAGAACAAGCCGCTCTGGATGCGCAAGCCGGATGACGTCACTAACGAGGACTACGCTGCCTTCTACAAGGGTTTGTCCAACGACTGGGAAGACCACTTGGCGGTATTCACATTTTTAAGGATTGTTTTCAAAAGATGGATTGATTGTTAGCAGTGTCGAAAAATCTGATGGCGGTACGTGTGCGAGTGAGAATTATTACCATTTATCCTGACAGTAGTGAAAAGTATCTGCGGGTGAGAAAACCTTTCTGAAATATACATATGCCGATAAAACGCCCAGGTCAAGCACTTCTCCGTTGAGGGTCAGCTCGAATTCAAGGCACTCTTGTTCGTGCCCCGTCGCGCTCCGTTCGACATGTTCGAGACCAAGAAGAAGCGCAACAACATCAAGTACTAATCTTCTTCTTTAGATTGTTCGTACGTGGCATATGGCATTACTCTTCGATTCTTGCGACCAAGATTTCCTTCTCTTCGTGATAGCTCCTACGCGTCACTCCGATTTTCCTCCGATTGCTCACTACTTTTCGTACTATGATCTCCTTCACCGCAACAAAGGAAATCAGGTTGTACACGTCCGTCGTGTCTTCATCATGGACGCTTTCATCTTTTCCCTCACTCAATAAACCAGGTTGTACGTCCGCCGCGTCTTCATCATGGACGATTGCGAAGATATCATTCCGGAGTGGCTCAGCTTCATCAAGGGCGTCGTCGACTCCGAGGATTTGCCGTTGAACATCTCTCGTGAGACCCTCCAGCAAAACAAGATCCTCCGTGTCATCAAGAAGAACTTGGTCAAGAAGTGCCTCGAGATGTTCGCAGAGATCGCCGAGAACTCTGAGGACTACAAGAAGTTCTACGAGCAGTTCTCCAAGAACCTGAAGCTCGGTATCCACGAGGACGGCACGAACCGCAACAAGATCGCGGAGTTGATGCGGTACCAGACCTCCAAGTCCGGCGACGACAACGTCAGCCTCAAGGAGTACGTTGACCGCATGAAAGAGGGCCAGGAAGACATCTACTACATCACGGGTGAGTCCGTCGCCGGCGTCTCCGCCTCGCCGTTCATCGAGACCCTGAAGAAGAAGGGACTCGAGGTAAAAAAAACACTTTTTTTTTTTTTACTCTTGATGATTTTGTGAGCAGATACTAGATTTTTCTATTCATAAATTTGTCGTCGTTCTGTCTTGGATTAGATCTGTGTATAGAAGACTCTAGTCCGTCTTGTTCTACTTCAAAGCGTCCACATTTCAGCGTCCTTTTCTCCTACTGACAGTCCCATGTCGTCATCCATCTCATCTTCAAATTCTTCATTCTAATTTCAAATTCAAGGTCTTGTACATGGTCGACCCGATCGATGAGTACTGCGTCCAGCAACTGAAGGAGTTTGACGGCAAGAAGCTCAAGTCCGTCACCAAGGAGGGCCTCGAACTCGACGACGAAGATGAGAAGAAGAAGTTGGAGGAGCAGAAGGCCGATTTCGAAGGTCTCTGCAAGCTGATCAAGGAAGTGTTGGCCGACAAGGTTGAGAAGGTGATTGTGTCCAACCGTATTTCCGACTCCCCGTGTGTCTTGGTCACCTCCGAATACGGCTGGTCCGCGAACATGGAGCGAATCATGAAGGCACAGGTACCACTACTAGTAACTGTTTTTACTGTAATGACAAAGGCAAAGATACTACGAAGAACTCATTGATGCTCTCTAGACTAAGCAAGTTCGATCTAGATTTTGAAGATTGATCTCCCCAGCGTCGACTGAAAGTTTGTGGAAAAGCAGTGAGGCTCTGCTTTACCTAGGCCATCTTCCAACACGAACGCAGTCTTCTTACAATACTAAACTCCAACTTCCAAAGTATATATACTAAAATCCAACTCTGCAAAATCCAAAAATCTCAGGCCCTCCGCGACAGCACGATGACCTCTTACATGGTTTCCAAGAAGACCATGGAAGTGAACCCGAACCACAAGATCATGGCTGAGTTGAAGGAGAAGGCGCAAGCCGATAAGGGTGACAAGACCGTCAAGGACTTGATCTGGTTGCTCTTCGACACCTCTCTGATGACCTCCGGTTTCAACCTGGATGAGCCGACCCAGTTCGCTGGCCGCATCCACCGCATGATCAAGCTCGGACTGAGCTTGGATGACGACGACGAGGACGACGCGGAGGACCTCCCGCCGCTCGAGGAAGTCGAGGGCGCGGACGCCGAGGCCTCCAAGATGGAGGAAGTCGATTAAACTTCTTAAGGGAAGGTGCGTAGCAGACGCTTCGACGTTCTAGTTAGAAAGAAAAGTTGTACTTGCATCTGTGATTTTTCTTATTGAAAGTTGTATCCTTATTCGTCTTAAAGGATGTTGGGTCGTGAAAGTAGTAGTTTCTTCTAGATAATATAGACGGATAAACTGATGTAGCATCGTTCTACATCTAGTATCATTTCAAGTAATATTATACGACACACGTGATATAACGTACTATGAGAAGAAGATAGGACCCAGCGTCTTTGGTATTGTAGGTCGTCTTGGGTGAAGATCATTCGTATATTTGAAGATGAAGATCGTCAGCATGTTGAACAACGGATATTTGATGTTGTCCATATAAAACGTACGAACTGAATACTTTCTTATGCATGATGATTTCTGCAACCACAAGCTCGACATGCTGCAACGTCTAAATATTCAGGCTGTCTTATTTTCATCAAAATACTTCTTATTCTTAGTGACGTAAGGCTTCTAATTTCAGAAGCGATATTATTCAGCAGAAGACCAGCTACATGATGTCTTCGATCATCATTACTACGTACTGAATTCGAGATGGAAGCACTGCTTTCTTGCATGCTATTTAGAAGGACTCACTAATGGATGCCCTGCCTGAAGGTTGATCCACTGATCCTCTCTTCTGGGTACCAGTTTGTGACCTTCTTCAAAAACTTGCATTCTTGAGCTGGAAAAACCTTTCTTATTCTGCTGAAGTTTCATACCAAAAAACAGGAAAACATTAAGGCAAGCAAAAGCAACTAGCTGGGGATAACACTCTCCTAGTGTCCCCCTGAAGCGCCGATGTTTTTTAGAGGACGAGAAGATGTGTGAGCTGGTGACAAAAGGGGTATCGAGTGGTGTTGTAAGACGAGAAACTAGTCGTCTCCCAAGCAAGAAAAAGATGAAGATGAGAGAGTAGAGACGGAAGACTGCTGGCGACGGGAAGCAGCAGGAAAGGTCTGTACGAGAGGAGCCTGCATCTGTTACTCGAGAGAAAAAAAATGATGTTCAGGTGAGGCAGCACAGGAAGGGGCGCTTCTGTAACTGAGAGGAATTCTCTGTAACTGTACACTCTGTTAGCGATGAGACCAGGTACACTTTCTTATACATAATAGCGATGAGACCAGGTACACTTTCTTAGCGATGAGACCAGACAATTCAGGTACACTTTCTTATACATAATTTGATATCTTCACTCCAGTCAGGATGTTACAAGGTTAGGCAAGAAAGACAGTCGGGTGGGGATCGATAACGAGTCCCAGGCAGCTAGAGACATCGAGCAACGACCGTCGGACAGCTAGGCAATGAAGTAGAGGAGCCCGGAGAAGGAAGTAGTCCGGAGAAGGAAGTAGTCCGGAGAAGGAAGTAGTCCGGAGAAGGAAGTAGTCCGGAGAAGGAATTACTCTGGAGATGAAGGAAGTAGTCTGGAGAAGGAAGTAGTGACAAGCAAAGCCGAGGGGACAACAACTCGACGTGGATTGCGACCTTTCGACAGACGGGCGTCCTCGTCATAGTACTTTCCCGAAGATTTGCTTCAGTACAGCTAGCTTGTCCTCCGACGATTAGCAAATGAACTATTCCTGGTGTTTAGTAGTTCCGCTGATGCTAGGGAGCCTACTCGAGATTCAAGCTGCTTGCGGCGACATCTTAGACGCCATGAAACGTCAGCAGCGCGCAAGCCCCTTACGGAGAGCTTGAGGATCTTGCTTTTTAGATTTATGCGGTTTTTTGACTGCTTCTTGCTGGACTTACTAGAAACTATGTAAATATGAATGCTTTTTAAAGTAGTTGTACGACTTAGTACTAGACTGCACGCTGGTAGAAGCACGTGAAGACTTCAGACTAAGGTAAGTTGTTTCCTAGCTTGAATTCTCAACAGAAGATCTGGGACAGAGGATCTGCTATTCTAACAAGGTCTTTTGCAGACCATAGCGACTGAGTGAAATGGCGACGAGCGATCTAGAAAGGACGCAAGAAAAGTGCGATCTAAAGACAGGCTTTTTTTTGCCGCAGAGTGGCTTGTTGCCAGCGAGAGACACATGAGAGATATTTTTTTCCGCACTGCTACAAGCTGGATGGCAAGCGATGGAGTTGATTGGACGCTAAGCACGATAGATTTTTTTTCTTGGTGTTACAACAAGCAAGATCAGATCCCATTTTTTCTGTACTATGATTCAAATTCTTGACTATCATCTCTATAAGGTGAAAACCAGGGCACGACTGTCACAACCCGTAGAGGAGCCAACTGAGTATAAATAAAGTGTGTAGATTCTAAACAGCCTCTTTCGTTCATCTCGAAGGACATCAACTAGATTACATTTTAGATCAAGTTCTTGCACTTACTACAACTATTCCTAAATTTAAGACTGGGAGACCAGCTCTCAGATTTCATCTTTTCATTCAAAAACTCTCTTTTAGGGAAAGGCTAGACCAAACGCGGCATTTTTGCCTCGAAGCATGTAGCCGAAAAAACTATAGGGTAAATAGAATTGAATAACACATATGGGAACTTCTTGTTTCATATAATGAATTGTGTGAGTAGTTAGGAGGGAACGATACTAGTCTTACAACATAGATTTTCTCAGTTCCATATAAGCTTAAGAAAGAACCCAACATCTTTAGCACCGCCCTTTGTGCGGCAACGACGAGCGCTCGCGTGACGTCATTTTCTTATCGACGGCGGATTCGACAGAAGGAGAAGCTGACATCTCTAGAAGACAAAAACGTCCTCTGTGAAAACTACAACTTCTGCTACGTCCGAACAACAAGGAGATAGAAATCACTACTGTTCTTCACTATCTTTCTTTACGATTCTTTAGAAAAAAATATATTTTTCAACTTGCAAGGAAATAACTACTCATTTTATAGCATTCATGATAAGAAGACAAGTCTCTAAGATTCTAAGGCCTACTGAGTTTAGACTGTTCCCATTTAAGATTAAGACAACTACATAAGAAGATCAACTACACAAGAAGATTAAGACAACCTAACCTAACCTAGACAAGAAGAGGAACAAGATGTCCAAGCAGAAACCTAAAGTCGCACCGCAGTTCGCCAATGAGGAGGAGCGAGCTGCCTACTATGAGAAGGTCATGGAAAGCAGCGACGATGAAGTGAATACGATCAGGGTAAAGAGTCTACACAAGGAGTCTTTAAAGATGAAGTCAACACGATCAGGATAAAGAGTCTACATAAGGAGTCTTTGCATCCTCGTTGGCGCAACTTCTCCTGTAAAGAGTCTATGCTTGCAGGTCACATGAGAAGTGACAAAAATCATGGTCGTCCCAAAAGGGATCGCATAAGTAGTATACCTGTAGTAGGAGTAGTGAAAGGAGCTAGTATACCTGTAGTAGTAGTGATCGTGAAAGGAGTAGTACTGGCGCTCAGACTTCCGCAGCCTCTTCTATCATGCCGTGATGGAAGAAATGCAACGAACTAGTTGTACTGAAGGAAGATGAAGAAAGACAGACAGGAGACCATGGTCGTCCCAAAGGGGACCGCATAGTCTAAACAGGAATCCGCAAGGTGTAGGAAGGCACTCCAGCGACGCTTCATCTCTATAGTTAGAGACTCTATAAAGACTCTTTCCAACTTTATTAGCCAAGTCCGTTCCTGATTGTGACTCCGATTAGTACTACATACACATACTCAATTTCAATCAAGCCAATCCTTCCCTTTTAAAACCAAGCAAACCACCCATGATCCGGCCAAATCTTTCCCCATCCCAAAAATCAAGGGTTCCAATCAACTACCTTAAAAACAAAACAGGTTGAAGGTGAGGAGCTGGCCGATGTCCCGGCTTGGCTCCGCGCCGCCTTGGCCATGATGGACGCCGATGACACAGGTGAATTAGACAAAGCGGAGGTCGTCTACTTCATGAAGCGCATTCGTAAACTCATCCAAGCCAAGAAAAATGACAACGGTGAACTCGACTACGCTGATTTTCCAGACTCGGTTAAAGCAGCTATGGCAGTATGGGATGCTGATGCGAGTGGGTAATATTACACTGCTGGAGTATATTGACCTTTCTTCTTGATAATGGATATATTTTTTTGTTTAAAGAAATAGAAAGATCTTGGTCTTCTTCGGTTCAAAACATTATCTTACAGTTCAAGATCAGGGGTATTTGGACACAACTCTTGATACATACATCTTACAGCTCTTGGACCTTTTTTTATATTTCGCTATATGAAATGGGTTGTAGTTGGTGTTTCTTCGATCTTGCAAGATGATTTGTTTACTCATCATTCCTCACTCTTATAATCATTCCTTACTCTTACCTTATCTCCATCCAAAACTCCCAACAGTTCCGTCTCTGTGGGCGAACTTACCGCGGCAGCTAATGCCCAAAAGAAGATGCAAGAGGAGAATCGTGTCATGAAGCGCGCTTTGGTCGTACTGGTTGCGATTATTGTCTTGCTTTTATGGCTTGAAAAGTGACAAGTTCTTATACTCATTTAATCTTCGATTTTCGATCCATCCAACGGCATCCATCCATGATAGATAAGTGCTCATAATGTGGTCGTTATTGTTTGGTTTCAGGAGATTATTTCGCTTCACAGAATAATTTCTCGTTCAAACAGATTGTTCCGATTGAATCTTCTCCTTGCAAGTAAATCCTATGCATTCCTATCGAATATTAACGTCCTGCTCCAACCATCCATCCAACCCTGGCATAATGCATTTCTGTCGAATATTAACGTCCTGCCCCAACCAACAACCACTCATCCCCTCTCTAATCCTCGCCGTGATGAACTTCGTGATGGGCTTACTTGCCGTCGAAGCTGGTAAGGACACGAAGCCTTCCGAAAGCAGTTCTCATCTTAAGGCTACAAGAAATCTCCCATTTTCAGAAGCACCATCTTGGTCCGTAGGTTTGTAAAGGGAAAACGAGACCCAAGATCGATGCAAACCCTAACCCTAACTAAACCCTAAACCCTATCGAATAACTCTTAGTTCTAATCGTCGCCAGCGTCGTCTCCGCGAACTAGCTGAGGTCCACGGTGAGCATCGTCTCCTCCACGCCGATTCCGGTGCCGGTGCCGACCGTTCTCTAGGGCCCGGCGTCATGATTGCGGGAAGCGGCATGAGCTCGGAGCCGGATGCGGCGGATACGACAGTTATCGGTACATCTATTTAAGGCTCAACATTTAGATTGGGGTCACCATTGAGGTTGGTCTGTCACTGACACGTCGGAAGAGGAGACTCCTACTCCTTGAGGAAAAAACAACAGGGGAAAACGAAGGGAACAAAGAGCTTTGTCAAAGCGGGTCTCCTCTTCCGACTCAGAGTGTCAGTGGCCAGCAGCGAATGCCGAGCTTTAATCTATGGCCAAGGAGCGCTATTCCGGATTGGAGGTGCTGAACAAGTTGAGCACGATTCCGCCAGACATGGCTGGCAACATCTTGGCCGTCACCTTCCCATCTGCTGTTGGTCCGAAGACGTTCAAGGGCATCGACGAGATCGCTATGGGACCATTTGAGCCAGAGATGGGAATGAGGAAGGTAATTTGTTGATCGGATCAAGCTTTTGATGTTTCTTGTTTTTAGCTCTCCTCTTATTCTTGTTTTTCTAGTTGAACACATATTACTTGTTTTTAGTGCTTTTTTCATGGAGGGAGGAGAGAGAGAGTTATGAGTACAGAGTGGGTGCGATGTTGTTGTATCACAAAAGCAAATCACTTGACAGGCTATTCTTTATCACTATGTGATTTGTTTTGAGTTGTTGTTCACAAAGTTGCCACCAATAGAGCAAACTGTTATTTTAGTTCTAAAATTTCTTTTCGTTTTCTTTTTGGAAAACAAGTAATCTACTTAGATTCTTTTCCTTAAACTACCAGATCTTCAAATCCGCCGGTGGCTCCTTCGTTCTCGTTGAGCCTCCACGCAACACGCAAAACTACTGCTACGAGCGCTTCATCGAGTTCAAGGATCCCAAGTCCGGGATGACTGAGGTGGTCACGGAGGAAATGATCCGCACCAGCGGTATGTACTTCTGCGCCGGCTATGATCCGATGATCCACGACGGCGGCCGCTGCATGGAGCCCTGGGAGCAGGATATGGAATACATTCCTCCATTAAGGCTACAAGAAATCTCCCATTTTCAGATGCATCCTGAGATGACCGTTTTCAAGGGGAAAAACAAGGTTCTGAGATGCGTTTCAAGATGGATTTCTCTTGGGTCTAACTCCCGTGTTCGAACGTGCCAATGCGACTGGCTTGCAAGCTTGCGAGCGTGTTGCCGCTGTGATCACCATGGGCACCGAAGGTGACATGTCTGGCGGAGTCGCTAGCGTGGTTGTGCCGGACATCCATCAGTACTGCCCGTCTGGAGCATGCAACCAGACGCAGTTCTTTCAGTACATCCGTCAGGTGCCGGTCGATGCCCCTCCGGGTATGTCCGTGATGGACGCGTGGATGATGTTCAACAAGGACAATGATACCTTCGTCACGATCGATGAGATGAAGAAGTTATGATCGCTTTGATGTGGAAGATTTAGAATTACAGACGTTGTTGTTTAATCCGTCTAGGACTCCATCATTCAATGTTCTTGTTGTTGAAGTTGATATGAGTCTAGCTGTTCAACCAAGTGGGCGCTTTAGAAATAGCGCTTTGATGTGCCGCACTTTAGAAATAGCGCGTTGATCATGTGCCCAGTACTAGGGTTGTAGAATCAGTCTGCCATTTTCATCATAATGTATAAGACGTAGTTAGCCCATTGAGACTGCAGTAGATGAACTACATGCAAGAGCGATTTTTTCTTCATATAGTACAACTACCTAGCTTGTTCATTGAGATGGCAGACGAGCACGCACTGAATTTTTACTTCCTCGTCGTCAAATCCAGTTCTAGTCTCCCTCCCAACCCCTCTCCTTCTAATTCCCGGTGTCAAAGCCGCTCTCCCTCAGTTCGACTTCGTCTGGAATGCTACGGTTATGCGCTCTCCAACGACCGTCGCTATGGTTGAGGCCGCTAACCGAACATCCATGGCCACTCGTCGCCGTCGTCTCGAATCTGAACTGTTGTTAAGGCTTTTTTAGATTCCTCCTCGAGATGAAGCATCTTGGAGCCTTTTCCTAAGGAGAAAAGCTGGCCAAAGATGCTCTCCGAGAGGACGAATTATAAGGTAAATAAGCACTAATGTTGAGCGGTCAGTTCCGTCGCCGCATGCTCTCTGTCAGGGACCCCAAGACTGGCAAGCAGGTCCGTCGCTTGACCGATGGTGGCGGTGGTGGTGCGCCAGGCACGGACTTCAACGTCAGCTACGCTTTGGACTATTCTCTGAAGACGCAGGCCATGATCAACAGCGAGTTCACCTCGACCATCCCGAACACGGAAGTCGCTCAGGCATTCTGCTCTTCCGATGCCTCGAAATGCAAGACCGCGGAAAACGCCGTGGAGGCGGCTGACGTGAACAAAGATGGTATGATCGATACAGAGGAGTGGGAAGAGAAGCTGCCGGAAAAGTTAAGGCCTTCTTACTCAGTGAGTGATTGTTCATCTTATAGTAGGCATTTAATAGCCATCTTCTTCTTAGAGGCATCTTCTTGAGGAGGTTTGGCCCCTTTATGTGTCTTCAGGGGAAGAGGGAGAAGCGTGGTTATAAAAGATGCTTCTTGTCGAGAAGATGGGTATGTTCGGTAACAAGGTCTAAAAAAGATGTCCTCCGACCCAGAAGTCAAGGCCGAACAGGATGCCCCTCCGGAGCCGAAGGCGGGACCCAGCGTCTGCTCCAAGCTCAAAGAAGCTCTCCCAGTCGGCGTCTCTATTACGTGCAATAACGAGAAGGACTTGGAAAAGATGAAGGGTACTAAACTTCTTTGAAATTTGGATTTTTCGATTTAGTGGATTGAGGTAGAGAATTTTTTCAAGGACGTGATGTTCCCATTGTGATTTTCGCAATAATAAAACTGTGCATCTAGTAGTAGGAAGTTACAGCATCTTTCTATTGATTCTAAACTTCTGCCCTAAATTTCCCATCCTCCTATCTTCCAACTGTCCCTCTCCACAAAAATAAAGGTGAAAACGTCGCTGAAAAAATGGATGCTTGCGATATGGCTGATCGCTCTTCTGGCGAGCTCGCAGACGGTAAGATGGACAACGCCGAGTGCAAGGCTGTTTTTGATCCCTCCACTCCGTACGATGAGATGCTGGCGATCTGCGCTGGCGGTGATCCGGCGACTATGCAGAAGTGCCGCGAAGAGGGTGTCGGTACCTCGCACTGCGTCTCCTACATGGCCCCAGAGGTCGGTGGCGACCCGGTGACGGCTGAGGTGATCTGCCACATGCACGATGTGATGGACCCTCCGGCTGCGCCGATGAGCGGCATGCAGCGTGGCGAGATTGACATCAATTTCAAGAAGCTCAAGAAGGAGTACATGGGCGCTGAGGCCAGCGGTGAAATTCGCCGTCAACTCGGAGCTGGCCAGCTGTACCGCGACCCGAAGAAGCGTCACTTGCTGCAGCGCAAGACGTTTTCGCCATTGCACCGTGCTCCAGGCCACAAGAAGGAAACCGGCTTCCACGAGGTCGTGTTCGAGCAGATGATCAACCTGCCGCGCATGCGAATGCTGGAGGCCAAGTACATCCAGAAGGAGCGCAAGTTGCGACAGAAGATGCGTCGCAAGCTTGGTGGTAACGGCGATGGCGCCTTCGACAACTGGTTGCTCGAGCGTCGCTTGCGATCCACTGAGAAGCTGCGTCGTCGTCGTGTGCTGCTGGCGTTCGACGAATCCAAAGATGATCCCGAGGAAGCTCACCGCAAGCTGCAGCGCGTGAACCGTCGTCTGCACGAGATCTCCGTCAACGCGCACTCGCCGTCTGCCCTGACCAAGGCTGGACGCCGTTTGGTCGAGGACGACGACGCCGAAGAGCGCAAGTTGCGCTACGTGCTGGACGACGACGAGCATCTGCTGTCCGACAAGCACGCTGAGTACCGACGTGACTTCAAGATCAAGCCAACGTCGCGTGCCATGCGCGAACTGATGCAGTTGACGCACGCTTCGAAGCGCAACCTCTATGCTCTGCCATCCATGGACTCCATCGCGGACTACCTCACCGAACAAACCACTCGCAAGGGTGGCATGAACCGCACGGCCGTTCTCCACTGGGCGGAGGACACTCTGGCCACGATCTATCACGCAGACCCGATGGACGAAAACACGACCTTCACTGCTGAAGACCTGCAAGCTTCTCGTCAGGAGATGCGCATTCTGCAGGCCATCCGCGATGCTCCTGAACCCGCTGATGTCGTTAAGGGCTTCCACGGCTACGCTGCTCCTTTGACGCCGGATGACGCTCAGGAAGAGATGGAGGACTTGGCTGGTGTTATGGCTTCAACTTTGTAAATTTAAACTTATTTTTGTATGCTGGGTAGTACATTTTCAATTGCTTTCAAACATCTCTCTGTGTCTCTGCTTCTTTGATGAAAATTTTTTAGCGTTTCCTTTCTTCAGCAAGCATCTAGTAGAATCGCAGTTTGAAATATGGATCCTTATTTACAACCTTATTAGCATCCAGATCCAGCATCCTCTAATCTCCGCGCCCCTGCGACCCAGACCTGGATGCAGTGGAATACTGATGGTGACACCGCTGAAGACGCTTCCGCCGCCATGCGCAAGCTCATGGCTCAGCGCCGTTCCCTCACTGAGATCGCGGAGCGTCGCCGCATGCGGGCTCTTTCCATGGAAGAGGGTACCACCCATCGCCGCCACTTGCTGGCCTCGGTGGACGAACTGCATCGTGCGCTGTACGAAAACGAGGCTCAAGCGACTATGCATGACACCCCAGTAATGAACGAGAAGGAGGTGGGCCGCTACCTCAACAAGAAGCCAGGCATGCTCGCCAAGTTGAAGGAGCACTGTCAGAAGGAGGGCAAGAAGCGCGAGGGCGCAGTCTTGACCCAAAACCGTCGCATCTTGTCGCAGATCAAGCTCGAGCCCTTCGAGCGTCGTGAGCTCATGGCCGCCGGTGAGGACGAGGAGGACGACGACGAGGGCAGCTTCTCCTGCACACCCTGCGACATGCTCACTGGTCAATCCGACTCTGCTCGTCAGTACCTGGAGGAATTGCAGGTCAACATGGATGCTAAGGAAGCTGGTGACCCCAACTGGTGCGCAGCGGACTACGAAAACTACAAGGCCATCTGCTTGGACAAGCCAGACTGCTGCGCCGCTCCGCCAGAGGCTCCTTACAACGAGACCGAACGTATGGGTCCTATGGGAGGTCCGATGCCGATGAACCCGAATGTTCCGATGTTGCGTCAATTGAGTGGTGGATTCGGCGGGGCTTTCCTGTCGACGACCGGCTCTTTCACTCTCAGCTCGGGAGGTGCTGGAGCTGCGATGGGCTTCTCTCCGCCAGCTGTGTATACCTGCGATGCGCCGCCAGTTGCCCCAATGCGACGAGGATGGATGATGTCTGGGCCGGTCACCTTTAGTCCGTCGAACTCTGGAGGGAATTCGCGTGCGCTCTCTGAAGTCGGAGTTTTTATGTTGGAAAAGTTCACTCTGGAGTTGACCTTGGACGTAATAAACTTCATCTCAGTAACGTTCTAAGATGTGTTAGAGCAAGGACGAATCAAGACGTAGAGGACTTCTTCCAAGAAGTAATATCTTCGTTGTTATTTTCTTCTTGTCCGTAGACGTAGAGGTAAGTAAGTATAAAAAAACGTATCACGTGAGGACTCTGATGGCATTCATCAGAAAACGTAAAAGTAAAAGAAGATGATGACAGTTTCTACTTGTACTACTTCTAATCTTTCCTCCGGCTACAAGAGCCGCCGCAAAGGTATCAAGCGCAGCTTCACGCCCTACTCTAGTGCGAATGGACAGGTGGACTCAAAGGGTCGTCGCCTCGATATGGAATTCGGTGCTCCCGGGACCGCTGGTGATCCCGCTGATATGAACTGGGTACCCGAAGCCGGTGAGACGATCAACTACCATCGCTGCGCGACTGGCCAGGACATCGAGAAAGCTGGCGAACAGCCTGATATTGAGATGCCTGGAATGGAGGCCATGAACTACGATCGTCGTCGCTTGGCCTCCAACCCGTTGGCGCACTTCGAACTCCTTCAGCGTGAACGCCACGGACATCTGTTCAACCGCCACACGGCTCGTGCACGATCCCTGACGCAGAACACGCATGGAGTTCCGATTGACGTGTTCCGTCACAAGAAGAAGGCTGTGCCGTACAAGATGCGCCTGCGTGCGTTTGAGCGAGAGCGCCTGAACCGCCGTCGCATGCAGCAGCTGACCTCCGACGACAAGCAGGACCCGGAGCCAACGATTCACGTTGATTTATGACCTGTTTGCGTTGTAGAATTATAATTTCAATTTCTAGCGGCCTTAGTATGCATTTGAAAAGATGTTTTGAATTGTGTAATAAATCGATGTTGGGTTTTGTCCGCCCTCTTTTTATTTGATAATTTGTTAGAAGTCATTACTTAGTGCAGACTCCTCTCTTTCGCAATCGCAGTTCTTCCCTCTAATCCTCGGATCCGGCCGCCGCCTCACGATGTGGGATCAAAGCACCTGCGACGCTGCTGTCGAGCCCTCCGTCATATATGAGTGCATGACTGGCGCTGCTCGTTCTCCCTCTACCGAGATGCAGTCGCCGAACAACTTGAACACCGCTGCTGGGGCACCGAAGCCGCAGAAGAACTCGGTGCAGAAGCCATTGACCTTTGTGTCCTTCGTCAACCGTGCCATGTCCGACGGCGAGGGAGGCCTGCCAGCGTGCCAGAAGCTGCCATTGGAGGAGCGCAAGATGCCGATGATGGGCGCCACCTCGAACTTCGATTTGGACCCTACGAACACCTACGCGCACAACTTGGCTGCCGATACCATGGGACCCGGCTGCATCAAGAAGTGCGGCTGCCACTTTGTCGGCATGCTTCCCAATGGAGAATCGGTCTTGGCCAACGTGTGCAAGCACAAGAATGAGCAGGAGTGTCCCTGTATCATGCAGAAGAAGGCGTGCCACAAGGCGATCTTGGAGACCTGGCGCTCCATGGGCGGTTACGAGCCAGTCCACAAGCCGGCTGGCGACTCTACGCCGACTCAACGTCGCGCCCGGCGCTTGCAGCAGCGCCGATCCTTGAGGACTCACCGATTGGACACCAACAACTTCCGCCGATTGGCACGATCGGATGTCAAGCTGTTGAAGCACGAGAACAAGTACTACTAAAGTTGAACTTTAAAAAAAGTTTGAATAGATCCTTGTTGTGTTGAGCTGTTGAAGCACGAGAACAAGTACTACTAAAATTGAAATTCTTCTAAAAGTTCATCTAAAAGTTTTAAAGATAGATCCTTGTTGTGATCTAAAAAATCTAAAACGCGATCTTCAGGCATGGTCAGCCACTGATATATTTCTTTTTGTCTCCCACTCTTCCAGGATGCGTCGCGAGCGCCGTGCTCTCCGCATGAAGCGCATGTTGGGCGAGCGCAAGTTGGACGAGATCGAGACCTTCGAGAAGCAGTTCTACAACCTGTTCGGTCGCCGTCATCGTTCTATGCGTGTCCTGACCGGCAAGCCAGGCCAGCGCTTCCGCAACTTGAAGATGATCGAAAACTACCATACCAATGTCCGCCGCCTCCGTCGTGAGCGCCGTGAACGTCGTAAGCTGTCTGCTGCGTCCACTCAGCATCCTTAAGGATCATCTAATTGTGATTCATCTTTCTACTTGGCCGCATCCTTGTACTAAAGAGTATTCCACTTGATGAATACAACTACAATGTAGATGCAACCCGCAAGAGATGAATACAAATTGGATAGCCCTTCTAAGATCCGGCCTTCAGCACGATGTATCCAAACGACGACTTCGCGCATCCGGGAGAGCCGACTCCTCTCGGTGTCGTCATGGCCAACCCCGGACAACCAGGTGGCACTGCAGCTCCGTACACGAACTTTCCGATCGCAGGTGTTCCTGGCACTGGTGTCAGCTCGACCACGCCGCCGCCGACCTACGTCGAGGCACACGCTCCGACCATGTACACGACGCCGCCGGTGAATCCGGGGGAAGTCCCGGGCGTGTCCTCCTCGGTCTTGATGGCCACGTCCCCGGCTCCGATGTACTACGGCCCCAACGGCGGCGCCAGCATGGATATCACGCAGGTGGTGAATCACAACTTGTTCGACCAGGCCAGTTCCAAGTTCTACTCGCTTGTGATGGTCAGCGTGAACACGACCACTGACGTCACGGCTTGGCAGTCGCACGACTTGTGCTACCTTGCCGTGATGTGGAAGTCGAACTCGACGGCGATTGGCCCAGACGGCCTGCCAGCCGACCGCATCCAAGAGTGCATCCAGGCCGTCAAGTACGATCCGGAGTACTATTAAGGGTAGGTTAAAGGTGCTTTTCTTACCGCTTTTTATGGCTTCCTTAAGAGCGACAGGCATAAAAAGCGGGATAGACGAGCACCAAAAACCTACCGCTAATACTACGGCTACTCTCCCGTCCTCTTCGAGGAGTACCACGCGGGCAACGCCTTCTGCCCCGACCCGGAAGACCTGGAGGACCCGGACTTTCCGTCCGGTTTGAAGGACATCCTCCAGAACGGCCACTACGACAACGGCCAGGGCAGCATCGATAACGGCATGAACATGATGGAGGACCTGCAGCCTGGCATGATCTGCGAGCATGGTATTCCGGTCCCGGATGACGCCTTCGATGAGGCGGAGATGGATGACGATGCCCGCGAGCCGCCACCGGCTGAGGTGAAGGAGGCCGCCTGCGGGAACGAGTGCGTGAACCCTGGGGACGGATCCATGAAGGCGGAGCTGATGCAGCACGCTGACAGCTTCAAGCACATGCCGGAGACCTGCTTGGAGTTCACCAAGATGTACCTGGGCTTGCCGGACTACGACCCGGACACAGGTATGACTACTGAAGCCGTGCCCAAGGACTACTGCGGAGAGTTCCACGACATGAACGTCGGTTACTTGATGGAGTACGAGATCTCCATGGCCTTCTCTCATGGCGAGTTCAAGCGTGGCGAGATGCGTCACCCGGCATTGGCGGACTACGTGCACGAAGTCGAAGTGCGTCCTTGTGTGTCCAAGGGCGTCAAGGAGCGCGCTCACTTGGAGCTGATGGTGCGCAAGCACGGAGATGCGGACTTGCATGAGGCCATTTACCATCAGATCCCAGAGGGTGAGATGCGCGTCGAACTGCCGAAGAAGAAGGCCGAATCTGGTGGCTTGTGGAATGCCCTGAACCCGCCAGATAAGAGGGACCCAGCCGCTGTTGGCTTCGTCACCATGACCGACGTCGTCGCCTACGATCATAAGTGCAAGGACGCAGCGGGTGCCAAGGAGACTGTCGACCAAAAGGCCTGCGACGAGATCAAGCGCGTCATGCCAGTGCTGCAGCAGACCATGGCCCGCGGCCCCGCAGAAGACGCTGCTCCGGTGGAGGAGTCTAAGGAGAGCACGAAGATGAGCCGCGAGGATATGATGCACTTCGCTATGATGGCTGACGAGGGCAACGCAGCAATGGCCCAAGGTGAGGAGGTAACCATGCAAGACTACGTCTGCCACAAGGTCATGACCGAAGATGGCGGATGCAAGTCGGAAGCCTGCGCCCGTCAGATGTTCCACGAGCAGAGCGGTGGCAAGGACACTGTGTCCGCGCAAACCATGCACACGCCAGTTGGTACTTGATACTCGTTGTCTAAAAACAACTTCGATAGAATTAGCTAACCCTGTTTCTGTACAGCTCCTAGATTTTAAGTAACTCTGAGCTGAGGGTAAAAACAAAGTTCACCATGTCTCCTCCTGAAAATTCTTATCAAAATCAAAAAATGGTGACATTTTTATTCTAAATCTAATCTTACAGTATCTTCATCATTCCCCATCTTCCCCAACTCAACATCAGGCGTCGCCGGCGAGACTGACGCGACTATGGGTACAATGATGCCAGCTGAGGCCGAGCAGCGAGCTCACGAGGAGGACAAGGCCCAAGCAGACATGATGGTCGCTGAGGGTATGAAGACCGCGTTCGCCGAGTCAAAGTCCATGACCGAAGGCCTCACTCACGCTCTGACCACGATGGGCCGCCGCATGTTGTTGCGTCGTGCCCGTCAGCTCTCTGAAGACGGCTATGCGCGTCCGGATCACTTTCGTCGTGCACTGGGAGAAGTCGAAAACAGGCCTCTGCGCCGCATGTTGTCCCCCATGTTCCCGGACATGGGCATGGACACGACCAAGATTGCCATCGGCGAGGTGAACGATAAGTACCTGTACAACAGCACTGGCGCTGTCATCCGCGACGACTATGGCAACATGATGATGGCCCCGCCAGAGGGCGATGCTCCGTCTCCCGCGGTTTTGGCCGCCACTGGCGTTCCGCAGTCCTACCTCGACGAAGCGTGCGATGTCGTGACCAAGGTCGTCCGTGCAACGAATGCTACCATGCACCAAATGCGCTTCTCGACCAAGGGCTTGACCGAAGATGCTGAGTCCGAACGTCAGCGTCACGAAAACCTCGATGAGCAAGAGCGCTTCCAGGCGCGTTTGCTGCGTGAGGGAAAGGAATTCATGGGCTTTTGCAAGAATATGACGATGATGAAGACGCAAGAGCAAATCATGAAGCGCAATACGCAGAAGAATCAGACCCGCACGACCCTGATGGAGCGAACCAGCACACCGAAGAGGTATCTAATTTTTACTTTGTAACTGGTGTCTAATATTATGTGTAGGTGCAGAGGACTCAGATGCAAGGATAATATTAGAGGGATGTTGATATAATCATGTTTTATAGATTGCAGATTTCAGATTGTCAATAAGTTGTAGGTGCTTGGGGACAATTCTCGTCTTGGTACTTAATAAAAACCTAAAAATGAAAAATCCCTAAAACCTAAAGTCCTTTGTTCTCCATTTTTGACCAGCCAACCGAAGCTCGCTCCCGAGGATGATCCGGCCACTGTGATTGAGGACGACCCACCGCGTGACATCAAGTATGAGCAGGCCGAATCCTTCACCAAGGTGATGGAGCTGACTATGGGCGGCGATGACGCTCCAGCTGTCGACGTACTCGAATCCGCTGAGCACACCGTCACTCGTGAGGAGTTCGAGAATGGCTGCCTGAACGACCCAACCATGATGGGCCAGGACCCCCAGATGGTGTACCACCAGTGCGACGAGGAGTGGACCCACTACCAGAACCAAAACCCGAATGCCAACACGGGTCCCAACGGTGGCGCGGACACTGTGCCGAAGCGTCTCTTGACGAACAACGCCGCTCCCGAAGATGGCAGGATGGAGAACGAGATGGTGTGCGACACTGCTGAAGCCGAAGTCGATTTGCCGGCATCGATGTCCGGCGCTTCCACTGGTGCGGACATGGCGTTCACTCCTCCATCCTACACTTTGCGTAAGTTGATGCAGACTCGCGTCAAGGGAGCCAAGCGCGATAGCCGTCGCAAGCACTTGAAGCGCCGTCTGGCCATGATGGAAAACCCGAATGGTGGCTTGTCCGCGATCTCTTATGGTCCTCGTCGTATGAACAAGCGCGTGATCCTCGATTCGCCTCTGACCAAGGACGGCCTGCGCAAGCTGACCATGGGCAACCCGGGAGAGCAGATGATGATGGCCCCATCGTCGGACGGATCGCACATGCTCACGTGCCCCGAACAGAAATTGTTGCTGGAAGGTACGGCTATGCCAGCGCAGATGGCGCCAGATACAATGGAGGATCAGATGGAACACATGGCTGAGGGAGATCCGATGATCCATGAAGGTAAAAAGGGGTTTTACATTTTTTAGGTTTTTTGAGGTTGAGTAGCTGTTATTAGCTGAGAAGAGTTAGAATAAGAGGAAGAGCATCCACCGATGATCCGTTATAATTAGATTTCTTGCTCCTTGCGTTTGAGAAGGATCTACTTGAGCTTCAATCTTGTCCAATTTCGACTTGGCATCAAATTTATTTTCTCATCCACATCGATCTACTTCACACCCTAGTAAATCTTTGAACATCTCAAAATTTCTTCAAACACAAAATTACAGGCGTCGCCCGTCAGATGCAGCAATCTTGCGATGTCGCTAACCATGACTACGACCCAGCTGCGGACATCATGCACGACGACTATGACGACAGCGGAGACTACTATGACCCCGACATGGAGGACTGGTACGCACACCCAGACATGTACGAGGACTACCGACGCCGTATGGAGGTCAAGGGCATCAAGGTTGCTCCTACCGCTCACGCCCGCAAGCTCGAACAGAAGGCTAAGCTGACCAACATTCGTGCCAAAATGGAGCGCAACCGCTTGGCGCAGATGAAGATGAAGACCGGCGATCATCGTAATCTGCAGTACATGTACGATCCCTACAGCACGATGTACCCACCCATGTCCGAGCCGAGCACGTATGCGCCAGCCGCCTACGGCACGTCCTATGACATGAGCTTCGGAAGCAGCACGTACTCGCCGCACTTGAACATGTTCTCGGAGCAGACGACGTACATGCCACCAATGGAGAGCACGATGTCGCCAACTATGATGATGAACACTTACTTCCACGCGGACTTCTCCACGATGATGCCGCCGATGCCGAGCACCTACGCGCCAGGAGTCAGCAGCACATACATGTACAGCTATGAGTTTCTAAGTATTTTTTTTGTTCAGCTTGAAGTATAACCTCTTTTTGGTATAACCTTTTTCCATTTGGTCAACATCGTTTTCCTCCAAAACGTGATCCAGGCCAACTTCTCCGCCGTACATTCCGCCCACGGAGCCGTTCACCATGCCAGCCTTCGACCCGTACCATTACCACGAGGCTTCCACCGCTGCTCCTCTCATGATGGACAACGCTGGCCAGGCTGCTGCGTACACGCAAATGCCGTCTATGATGTCTCCTGCGCCAATGACGATGCCGCCAATGCCGATGCACGTCTCGACTTCGATGCCTGGCATGAACATGAGCCACTTCGATGGCATTCACCCGATGGACTTCGCGCCTATGCCAATGCCAGGCAATGAGACCGAGATCTACACCGCGTACACCGGCAACAACGTCACTTTGATCAACATGTTCAACAACGGGTCCTACATGGGCGAAGGAGCCGACCCGGCTGTCACTCCGGAAGATGCTTCCGCCATGAACTTGCAGTACGTCGACGCCATCTACGATGCTCCGATGCCGGCAGTGGACCACGAAGCCCTCGAGGCTATTGAGGCCCAGATGGCGTACAACGGTGACAGCTACGTCCCAGCTGAAATTGGCGATGGGTTCGACTGCTCCACGCTGCCGGCAACCGTGTTCTCCACGCAGGTGACTCATCCAATTGACGGATCTTCCTATACCTCCCAGCTCGACCTTTCCGAGGACTGCAAGTACATGCAGAAGAAGCAGAAGGAGTTGCGCGAGATTGAATCCTTCATCCTCATGCTCGCGGACATGAAGGCCACTCAGGAGGCCAACACGGCATTGGGATATCGCATGTTAAGGCTAGAGATACAACTAGCTCATCTTCATGTTGTAGATGCTCCTAGAGATACTGTAATTCATCTTCTTCATGTTGTAGATGTGAAGTTTTTTCTCAGATACAGACTCCTTCTTCTTGAATGATACAGGGTAGTTCCTGTCGTGAGAATTATAGATACGAGCTTAGAAATCAGACGAAGTAGAATTTAGCTCGCCTCTTCTAAGCATACGTCGTCGTCTCTCTCGAGGTGAGAAGCTGCCGACCTACGTGCGCAAGTTGGCTAAGATCCCGCAGGCCTGGGAGGTCGAAGACTACCGCCGTCACCTGATGGCCAGCGGTGACGAGAAGAAGCGCCAGCTGGCGATTGAGGGTGCCTTTACTTCAAAATCTATTTTATTTTTTAGAAAACAGACTTATAGAGAAAGCCGTGCAACAATTTCTGAAAAAGTGAAAATCTAAAAATCTTCTACAACTTCCTAAAAAAAAACGAACTCTAAAAATCTAAAAAAATAACGAACTCTACAACTTCCCTCTACCATCCAAAGCATAAAACTCCCTAACAACCCCAACATCACAGCCTCTCGTTCCCTGATGTTCGAGTCTGAGATCATCGATATGATGACCGGCGACATGAACTACACGTCTACCATGACCGGTGGGTCTACCATGCCGCCGATTGACTACGCCTCCATCAACATGGACTCCACCATGAACATGCCGACTGCTGAAGAAATGCAATCCATGGAGAGCATGCACAACATTTCTGGTATGGTCACCGCGTTGGAGGGACAGATGGATGAGCGGTATTATTCTTGGGATTATTTAGGAGGTTTCTTCTTGGTTAATACCTGGATTTCGGTTTCTTGGTTCTTGAATTGGAAGTAGAAGTGAGAAGAGATAATTGCTGATTGTAGTAATCTTTCCACATTAAATTGAATCTTTTGAGCAAGTTCGTTTCTTCCAAATCCGATCGACCTTGTTGGATATGACACTTCCAAATTCCTAAACAGTTTCGTCGAGGAGATCCGCAAGTCCATTGAGCACGCTAAGGAGACCGCCTATGACGTCTACATGCGTATGCGTTCCGACCCAGCGTACCTGCAGATGATCATCAACATTGGTGCCTCGCAGGCCGACAAGATCCAGATGATGAAGCGCGTGACCAAGCTGTACCAGATGGCCAACCCGAACGAGCCGGACTGGTACAACGAGCAGTATGACGGCGACAAGTGCTTGGACCTGTACACGCGTCACTTGGGCTGCGCTGACTTGCGCTACCTCTCCTACAACGAATCCATGTACGACTACGACATGTACATGAACATGGGCGATCCAGCCTTGGAATCCGGAGATCCCAAGTACGAGCCGCCAATCATCGACTCGCCGGATCGTCCGCACGCTAAGTGCCAGGTCGTTGCGGACAACCTGCGACGCAAGTTCGGTGGAGATGGTATACATTTACTGTTTAATATGATTCATGTTTTATACTGTTTTTAATTCATGTTTTTAGAAAAAGGGGGACTTCGTCTAAGTCGATCTTTATTCAGGTTTTTAGAAAAAGGGGGACTTCGTCTAAGTCGATCTTTAACTCTACTTCTGACCCATTTCCTTATTTTCCAACATTTTTATTCCTGCTCATCCTCATTCTCAAGGATCAACAGGTATGTCCCCGTACGCCACTCCGATGCTGGATGCTCTCTCCCAAGTCCTTCAGCGCATCGTCGACTACGATGCGCCGCAAACTTGGCTGGATCACACCTGGTCCTGGAATTGGCCTGCGACCTACACTCGTCCGTCCAACACTCAGATCGATACCATCTGCGAAAACATCTACGAGGAGACCAACGGATGGGGCGCCTACGACATCACGACCTGGGAGGGCGAGACGAAGATGCAGTACATCCCGGTTAAGGACATCCTGGGATGCCCATTCACTCCGGCAACCTACTGGGACTTCGGATCGTACCGCAGCGGAGGATACAAGCGGTACTACTTAGATGAAATTTTTGCAACTCAACCAGATTTGATACACGATCCACTGTAAGTATGAACAAGTTGAAGCTTTAGATTTTATTTAGATTATCCATATCTACTGGCATGCGTATGGGTCATCATCATCGTCTCCTCATCTCTCTCTTATCATCCTCTCTCACCATCATCTCTCTCATCTCACCTTCAATAAATCTCCTTCACAGTTGCTACGAGTCCAAGACTAAGTTCAAGTCCGCTTGCGCTCAGATGTTGAAGGACATCCGTGACGCTGTCCCCGGCAACCCAGGCAACTCTGGTGCCTATGAGGACTACAAGGATTCTGTTGTGATGGACCCTTGGAGCGGTGAGGGTATGTGGCGCAACCCGGGTTACGAGCTGACTCACATGGCTGAGCAGTTGGCCTACGAGATCGACATGCACTTGGTCGACCCATACTATTAAGGCTTGATACACGAGTATAACTAATCCATGTCTATCTCCTGCCTGTCTCATACTTCTAAAGCATCTTGGACTTGTCCCATACCTACTACGAGGAAAACTACAAGCCCAATACATGTGTATCATGTGTCTCCTCGTCAAGATCATGGATTTGATGGATTATTAGCCCCCTCAGGAGGAGCCAAATCCCTTTTTCTAATGTTTTTTCTACCAATCCGACAAGTGGTCTGCGTTTGAGAAGCCGATCTCGTCCAAGTTGGCTCGCTGCACCATGCGCGCCATCCGTGAAAATCTCCCTGAGCGCAAGGTGATGGAGATCGTGGGTCGCATGAAGCGTGGGGAAATCGATGCTGCCAAGGTGGCCGACCGCATGCTCAAGCCGGTGTTGGAAAAGCATCCGAACTGCACCAGCAACGTCGCAGAGGCCAAGGCCTTCCTGCACAACAACGTCACGGACCTGTGCGCCCGCTTCTGCTCCGATCACAAGTACTGGGAGGAGGTGTCTCTGCCTTTGCAGACCGGTGCCGCTGGCAAGTTCAACGAACCGGTGTGGTCCGAGGCTGAGTATCCTGGTGCCATGATGGAAGACTCCTGCAAGGTACTGCTATTTAGTACTGTGACATTTTTTGGAGTTCTCTGTTTGTTGGAAGATGTTTTTAGATTCAAGTACTGTGACATTTCTTGGAGTTCTCTGTTTGCTGGAAGATGTTTTTAGATTCAAATCACGTGTAAAAAGTAAGAGTTGGTTCTACGTATATTAATTCCATTCTGGTTCTAATTGAAACTCCCACACAGGTCGACAACCACTGCATCATCTACAACAACTTGGGTGGCGTCGCTGGCAAGAAGGAGACCGCCGACATGTATGCCAACCACTATCGCCTCCGCGAGCGTCGTCAGCGACGTCTCAAGATCGAGGAGCGCCGCCGGCGTCGTGCCCTCCAGGAGAAGGAGGGCTCTGTTGCTGCTGAGACTGGTGAAGAGACCAAGCAGCGTGAATTGGCGGAGTACTGGGAAGAGCGTGGCATCGACTACATCTTTCCGGCTCGTGATCCGCTCCACCGCGGCTCCCTGCGCGCGCGCGCGATGACCCGCAAGTCTAGCACCCACAAGCGCCGCATCAACCGCCGCCGCAAGCTGCTGGCCAGACGCTAATTGGTTTAGTTTGTCGTGGAGAATATAACTGGATGTTGAAATAGAAGTTTTATAAATATTAGACTATCATCATAATCATGGGCGGGAAGGGAGTGATAGTTTATAGACTATGATACGGGGTGGAGTAGAATGCAATATACAATACTACAGGGAGGTAGATGAAAAGGAAAACTACAATTGTTCTTGGGTAGGAAGATGTTGTAGCTATAAAAGAGGAGGGACGAGGAGTATAAAACAATAGCTGTTTACAGGAGATTTTAGATGTTGTAATGTTGTACTAGATCATATCTTCGTGCATTTTTTCGTGCATTTTCATGGAGGCTATCTAACAGCAGCAATATCAATGTCTACTATCTAGAGTAGAGGTGAAAAATTTTCCCGGAGTTTTCGTTGTCCGTTTTGTGGTTGGTGATTGGTTCCAGGCTGCGCAGTGCGATTTGAGGACCAGGCCATCCACGTGATGCGACGACTACTAAAATTCTTTTGTTTCAACACAAATACAAAAATACTATTAGGCTAAGGTGGGACTTCTTTATTTTCATACTTTTATGAATGGTCAACGTCAGAATCTTCACTAAAAATCATCACGAAAGAACTAAATCATAGTTCTTATGGGGAAGTCGCAGTTCAGTAAGGAAAAAGTAAGCATTATCTTGACAGCGTCATCGCGGAGATGAGAAATTCGAAGTTCTTGGGTCATTAGCACGCTTGTTGTGTCTTGTCAATAGTCTATAATTGGAATTGGATACGTCATAAAACCGTGCCTGTTCGTGGTGAGTCGGATGAGTGTTTAATGACGATTAAGGATCCGATTGCTTTTTATGGGGTTGATTGGAATAAAACAAGGATTATCTTCTGATTGTTTTTTATGGGGTTGAGGCCCTCTGAGTGAGTAAAAAGAGAAGAAAAAAAAAAAAAAAAAAAGAAGAAAGAAGAAGAAAAAATAAAAGTATTTCGCAGGATTATCTTTTGGGGGGTCTATCTTTCTCGGCTGCGGTATAATTCTTTCGCGAAGTAAAGGGGACATAAGGGAGAGACAATGCTGCTGATTGTTTGATTCTTCTCAATCCTCTTCAAGCATACACAAGAGCACTTTCTTTAGATAGTGGAACAACAACTGCGAAGCTATACCCGTCGCCGATGAGAGAAGACTTCTCGTGGACCTGTCGCGCATGCCAGTGACTTCTTATGATGTCAATTATAGGTGAAATGAGACCTGGTTTATTGAACTTTGTAGGATTCTTGTTGAAAATGAGGCACGCCGTTCCCACGTATCGTCTCAGGACGTGGCGACGCAGTCACGTCAGCCGCGAGCCCGGTCTCCGTTCCATTCTTGTGCTGAATCGTTTGCTTCGTTTTAGGTGCCTGGCCGTCGTGCTTGAGGCGTCTCGCTGGGTAA